CTGACCGATGGTGATGGTGTGGTAGGTGGGGGCGTGGGTACCCCGCTGGCCTCCCATCGATGGAAGGTGTTCATCACCCTATCCAGAGCGTGCCCGATCTGGTTGATCCTGTCCTCCTGTCCACGAAGGCGCTCCTCAATAATCTCGGTAGGTGCGGCTGCTCCTGCTGATTCCATACAGATGGTGTGTAATTCTGTCACAGTTGAGTGTAGAAGTGGTGTGGAATCAAGCGCAGGACACACAGAGGCTTCATACTGACGTCTTTAGTGAAGACAAAAAGAACAAGCCAAACACGGCTACATACAACCTGGCAGGCAAGCGAACTTTACGCACACCGGTAAAGTACATACAAAGACACAAAAGTGCGGAGCTCTCTACTACACCGAACAGAGAGAAAAAAACGAACTAGCATCCCACAGTGACAACGAACAATTACACACAACACATGACAAAACTCAAGAGAACTTATAGGACGCATAATGAACACTAACAAGGAACAGGTGTAACAAAACAGACAAAACCAATCAAACATCGAAACATAGAACGGTGGCAGCTAGTACTCCGGAGACGACGACCGCCGAAGCCTGCCCGAACAAGGAGAAGGAGCAGCCTCGGCCAAAACCGTGACATCGACCCAGAACATATCGTTTTTTCTGCTGGAATCACTGAATCACTGGACCTTTAACACCGGATCATCGCAACTAGCTAGCTGCAACCAAATGGATGTTGTTGATGGCAAATCAGCCTTGAGCTAGCCTCGAGCCAGGCCCATCTCCCGGCTATCTACCTCTCTGTCAACCGGATGGGACCTCCTAGTGTTGACACGGAGCCCCGCCGATCCAACACGACTGGTCTGCCGACGAAATCGTCTGATGTGGTTTCAACAGGCTTCCCATTACGACGTCGACCACGAAGATCCATCTGCTAGCCCCGGCCCGCTAGCACACGCAAGCCGTGGCCTCTTGCTCGCCAGTGCTGTAGCAGACCCCGAACTACCTCCGAACTCTCCTATTGCTGTTCACCGGACCCTATGATAACTCAGCTATACAGCTGATGCCTGCTGGACTGTTCCTTTATACGGTACCGCATCCTGTTTATGTTTAGCCTCAGCCCAAACTTTGTCGCCATTACCAGCTGTTGTCTTAGCTCTCTCGAATAACACCTGTGATTGCTTTATGCCTCTCTCCCATGTCAATATGCCTTGCTTATTGCTGCTTCGGTTATTTCTTATTTTACAATTTCACTGTAGATCCCCCAGCCCAGCTCAACCTGCCTTAGATAGCTCCTTTGTCCCACCCCCCATACACGCGGAGACCGACTCAATCGGTGCCTCCAGTGATGCTATCTCTTTCATCGTTACCCAACGCTTAGGTTTACCTCCACTGTACTCATATCATTCCACATCCTTGTCTGTACATAATGCCCTGAATCTATTCTACAACACCCGGATATCTGCCCATTTTTTCTCTGTACCCAACGCACTAGAAGACCAGTACTTAAAGCCTTTAGCCGTATACTTATTCTACTCCTCCTCTGTTCCTCTGGTGATGTAGAGGTTAACCCAGGCCCTGTAGCCCCCAGTATCACTCCTACTCCCCAGGCGTTATCATTTGTTGACTTCTGTTACCGTAAAAGCCTTGGTTTCTTGCACGTTAACATCCGAAGCCTCCTCCCTAAGTTTAAGTTATTCACTGCGTTAGCACACTCAACCCTGATGTTCTAGCAGTGTCTGAACCCTGGCTTAGGAAGGCCACCAAAAATTCAGAAATTTCCATCCCCAACTACAACATTTTCCGTCTCGATAGAACTGCCAAAGGGGGTGGGGTTGCAATCTACTGTAGAGATAGCCTGCAGAGCTCTATCGTACTATCCAGGTCTGTGCCCAAACAGTTTGAGCTTCTACTTCTAAAAATGAACCTTTCCAGAAATAACTCTCTCACTGCTGCCGCTTGCTACAGACCCCCCTCAGCCCCGAGCTGTGCCCTGGACACCATATGTGAACTGATTGCCCCCCATCTATCCTCAGAGTTTGTACTGCTTGGTGACCTAAACTGGGATATGCTTAACACCCGGGCCAACCTACAATCTAAACTAGATGCCCTCAATCTCACATAAATTATCAACGACCCTACCAGGTACAATCCTAAATCTGTAAACATGGGCACCCTCATAGATATCATCCTGACAAATTTACCCTCTAAATACACCTCCGCTGTCTTCAACCAGGATCTCAGCGATCACTGCCTTATTGCCTGTGTCCGTAACGACCACCCATCATCACTGTCAAACACTCCCTAAAACATTTTAGCGAGCAGGCCTTTCTAATTGACCTGGCCCGGGTATCCTGGATGGATATTGACCTCATTCCGTCAGTAGAGGATGCCTGGTTGTTCTTTAAAAGTGCTTTCATCTCAATCTTAAATAAGCATTCAAAAAATTCAGAACTAAGAACAGATATAGCCCCTGGTTCTCCTCAGACTTGACTGCCCTTGACCAGCACAAAAACATCCTGTGGCATACTGCATTAGCATCGAACAGCCCCCGCGATATGCAACTTTTCAGGGAAGTCAGGAACCAATATACACAATCAGTTAGGAAAGCAAAGGCTAGCTTTTTCAAACAGAAATTTGCATCCTGTAGCACTAACTCCAAAAAGTTTTGGGACACTGTAAAGTCCATGGAAAATAAGAGCACCTCCTCTCAACTGCCCACTGCACTGAGGCTAGGAAACACTGTCACCACCGATAAATCTACAATAATTGAGAATTTCAACAAGCATTTTGCTACGGCTGGCCATGCTTTCCACCTGGCTACCACTACCCCGGCCACCAGCTCTGCACCCTCCGCTGCAACTTGCCCATACCACCCCCCCCCACCCCCCCCCCCGCTTCTCCTTCACACAAATTCAGACAGCTGATGTTCTGAAAGAGCTGAAAAATCTGGACCCCTACAAATCAGCTGGGCTAGACAATCTGGACCCTTTTCTTTCCGCCGAAATTGTCGCAACCCCTATTACTAGCCTGTTCAACCTCTCTTTCGTAACGTCTGAGATCCCCAGAGATTGGAAAGCTGCCGCGGTCATCCCCCTCTTCAAAGGGGGTGACACTCTAGATCCAAACGGTTACAGACCTATATCCATCCTGCCCTGCCTTTCGAAAGTATTTGAAAGCCAAGTTAACAAACAGATCACCGACCATTTCGAATCCCACCGTACCTTCTCCGCTATGCAATCCGGTTTCCGAGCTGGTCATGGGTGCACCTCAGCCACGCTCAAGGTCCTAAACGATATTATAACCGCGATCGATAATAGACAGTACTGCGCAGCCGTCTTCATCGACCTGGCCAAGGCTTTCGACTCTGTCAACCACCGCATTCTTATTGGCAGAGTAAATAGCCTTGGTTTCTCTAATGACTGCCTCGCCTGGTTCACCAACTACTTCTCAGATAGAGTTCATTGTGTCAAATCGGAGGGCCTGTTGTCTGGACCTCTGGCAGTCTCTATGGGGGTGCCACAGGGTTCAATTTTCGGGCCGACTCTATTCTCTGTGTATATCAATGATGTTGCTCTTGCTGCTGGTGACGCTCGGATCCACCTCTGTGCGGACGACACCATTTTGTATACATCTGGCCCTTCATTGGACAACCTCCAAACGAGTTTCAACACCATACAACACTCCTTCCGTAGCCTCCAACTGCTCTTAAACACTAGTAAAATTAAATGCATGCTCTTCAACCGAACGTTGCTTGCACCCGCCCACCCGACTAGAATCAGTACTCTCGGCGGGTCTGACCTAGAGTATGTGGACAACTACAAATACCTAGGTGTCTGGTTAGACTGTAAACTCTCCTTCCAGACTCACATTAAGCATCTCCAATCAAAAGTTAGATCTAGAATCGGCTTCCTATTTCGCAACAAAGCCTCCTTCACTCATTCTGCCAAACATGCCCTTGTAAAACTGACTATCCTACCTATCCTTGACTTCGGCGATGTCATTTACAAAATAGCCTCCAACAGTCTATCACAGTGCCATCCGTTTTGTCACCAAAGCCCCATATACTACCCACCAAATGTGACCTGTACGCGCTTGTTGGCTGGCCCTCACTACATATTCCTCGCCAAACCTACTGGCTCCAGGTCATCTATAAATCACTGCTAGGCAAATGCCTGTCTTATCTTAGCTCACTGGTCACCATAGCAACACGCACCGTAGTCTGCGCTCCAGCAGGTATATCTCACTGGTCATCCCCAAAGCCAACACCTCCTTTGGCCGCCATTCCTTCCAGTTCTCTGCTGCCAATGACTGGAACGAACTGCAAAAATCTCTGAAGCTGGAGACTCTTATCTCCCTCACTAACTTTAAGTGTCAGTTGTCAGAGCAGCTTACCGATCACTGCACCTGTACACATCCATTCTGAAATTAGCCCACCCAACTACCTCATCCCCATATTGTCATTTATTTTGCTAATTTGCACCCCAGTATCTCTATTTGCACATAATCTTTTGCACATCTATCATTCCAGTGTTAATACGAAATTGTAACTATTTTGCACTATGGCCTATTTATTGCCTTACCTCCATAACTTACTACATTCGCACACACTATATATATTTTTCTGTTGTATTTTTGACTTTATGTTTTGTTTACCCCATATGTAACTCTGTGTTGTTGTTTTTATCGCACTGCTTTGCTTTATCTTGGCCAGGTCGCAGTTGTAAATGAGAACTTGTTCTCAACTGGCTTACCTGGTTAAATAAAGGTGAAATAAAAAAAAAAAAAAAAAATTATACCTGCTGTAAGTGGTGAAGTGTTACATTGTGTTCCTTACCCTCCATTTTGGCCAATCAATTAAATCCCAATCCTGTCTTTGTGAACTGTTTGAACTCTTATTGCTACGTGAAAGCAAACAGTTTCTTCTGCTTTTTTTCCTTCACATCTATTTTCTACCTCGACCCTCACTGTGTAATTTCATCTACGTTTCAGGCAAGGCAGAGAGAGAAAATGAATGACGAACACAACAAACGCCTCTCGGATACGGTGGACAAGCTACTGTCTGAGTCCAACGAGAGACTGCAACTTCACCTCAAAGAGAGAATGGCTGCCCTTGAGGAGAAGGTGCTATACAACTTTGTTAACCATATGCTAAATTAAGCTAATATTGCCATTAATGATCAGTAAGTATTTTTTATCAACATAATCAACAGCAAACATGAGTAAACTTGGCACAATCACTTCTCCCCTCATATAGAATTCACTGTCAGAGGAGCTAGCAAACATGAAGAAAATCCAAGATGATCTTCTAGCAAACAAGGTACATATCCTCCCCTTATTGTATCCAATTGGTCAGATTTCATTATGTACGTTGTTGCTGTACTTTACATCTGTATATACATGGAATGAGGACATCAGCTGTACTTTATACCGAATTAAAACTGCTATGAAGACTTTGGACTGCCTTTAGGGCTATACACTGACTTTTGCAAACCCTTTTTGGGATACTAGGGTAGATAGTTTACCCTCACTCTAAAAAGAAAAGGTTCCTGGAGTATCCTTTAGGGGTTCTTCAAATTGAAACTGTGGGGGAACCCCTATAAGTTCTTTGAAGAACCCTTTTCTTCAAAGAACCCCTTTTAATGTATCCTCAAATAACCTTTTGCAGAACCTTTTGGGGTTAATTTTTTAACTACCCCCCCTCCCCTATTAATATTATTATTAATAATACGCTTAACAATAACAACAATAACACAATATTGTAGTTGTCAGTGTTTATTATGATTTTAGTAGCAAAGCAGAATAAAAAAATCAAAATATGAGGTAAACTCCAAGCATATCCTCTGGCATTGTTAATGTTCTCCGTATCCATAGCCAGAATGATTTTGCAGTGCATAGTGATCAAGCAGGTTTCCTGTTATATTCATCAGAGGTGTAGGGAGGGTGAAGTCTGTGAATCCAAAAAATAGTAGTTATATGTACATATGATTAACAAAACATGCACACAACAGTATTCATACCTTGGTTTTTGTGGTAAATGTGAATTTAAAAAAAACTGTTTTAATAATGGTTTTCATACACATACCTTGTCCATAATGTAGAGGCCTATGGGATATTCATTGACGAGGTAAGGGAGGAGGATGGTACATCTGATCTGCATAACATACCAATACCAATTGTCATACCTTTGTATGCCTCCTCATCTGTATACCTACAGACACAGACACAAAAGTGAGCAGTTCAGTCATGTGCACCCAATACAGCTAGCCTTAAACATATTCTTATAGCATACATATTCTTACCTCTTTGTTGATTGATATCCATTGAATTGTGTCCATTTTTTGTTTTAGAAGGATTTGCACAAATATGAAAAGATGGATGGTATCATAAAACAATATGAATTTAGATCATACAGTACAAGGGACAAAACTTACTTTAAATTGAGGAGATCTTTACATTTTTCAGTTAAGCGCCTGCATCTGCTGTCTTTCAAATTCAAATCCAAATGTTTCAGTTGGGCAGTTAGGTTCCTGCAAGAACCCCCACAAACTAAGGAGGTTCCTCGATAAACCCCACCTCCTATGGGGTTCTTGGAAGAACCGTTTGGGTGCAATTTTCAGTGCCAAGAACCCTAAGGTTCTTCAAAGAACTTTGAGGATCTTAGAAGAACCTTTGTTGAACCCCACATTTTTTGAGTGCTCCCCAGTCTCAATATACAACTTCATCTTAATCATCGCAAGGGTTTATGTGTTTCGCTGCAAGAACTGGAGACCAGTCACACTTCTCTGCACTGATAACAGTATTTTGAGACATAGACTTTGGTGATTAGTCAGTTCTGTCTATTCTTTAGTTATTCTTACCTGCTTCTGAATCCGTTCTTTGTTTAGTTCTTTTTAATAGGGCAATAAATGCATGTAAAAAATTTGGAACTTTTCTTTACTTGAATATCATGTCATCATGTACTCTGCTCTCGTCTCTCTCTGCTAGGACCAGCTCATAGCTGAGCTGGAGAGGATTCAGATGGAGCTGGATCAACTGAGGGGCAGGCCTGGCTCTTCCTATTCCAGGTTAGCCACAATGGAGCTTCAAGGGTATTTATAAATACATTTTATAAAAGCATCAAATAAACACATTAAAAGCATAAAATAAACACAGTAATGCACCCCTTGCTGGAGGATGATATTATGAACACTTTACCCCTCATAAAATATACTTTCTAAATGTTTGTTTTATATTTAGCAAAGAGACGAACAGGACAAAGAGTTGATTTTAAGTTTACGTTGTTATTCTCACTCAGTTGATGTAGCATTCAATTTTTTTCTAATGTAATGAATGTAACAAATAAACCATTATTGTGATTAAGGATAAAATGTCACAATAACTCAATTTGTTTGAATATTTGAAATGTTATTCAGAAATGTAATTTTTTTCATTTCACATTTTTTTATTTTATTGAGGAAATGGCGGCAATACATTCTGAAAAATGTGCTATAACGAATAAAGCAATTGTATTTTCTCATCTCATAAAATCTGATAAACTCTGTAGGGCGAGCAACGTGAGCTCACTTCCCTCCACCCTTTTTCGAAGATCTCTTCCAGGGAGTGCCTCAGAGCTCCGGTACCCCCAGGGTGGTGGCTCCCTCCCAGCCGGCTACGGCAGCTCCTCTAGTGGCGTGGTGGTCCGGAGGGCACATCGCGGCCGATGGGCTCCCCCCAGGGATGACAGCAACAAGGTGAGGATCTCATCGACTACCTACAGGGCTGTAGCTCCCTGGGGGCCTGGTTCCATACTGTATGGGCTATAGCCAACCTCATAAAAGAAAACAAAAGAAATGGTGCACACTCTTATGGCTCCAATTTTACATTTACATTTGAGTCATTTAGCAGACGCTCTCATCCAGAGCGACTTACAGTTAGTGAGTGCATACATTTTTTATTTTATTTTTCATACTGGCCCCCCGTGGGAATCGAACCCACAACCCTGGCATTGCAAACGCCATGCTCTACCAACTGAGCTACATCCCTGCCGGCCATTCCCTCCCCTACCCTGGACGACGCTAGGCCAATTGTGCGCCGCCCCATGGGTAAATGAAGTAAATGTAATAAATACCAACGTTTCAACAGCTATGCTGCCTTCATCAGGGTTTCAACTCCTAACTCCTGTCCTACAACATACAGTATAGGACCAGGCTAGCTCCCTGGGTGGTGTCTATTGTGTTTTCATTATTTGTGATTGACTGAGTGACCTGTCACTCCTACATATGGGGGCCATTTTGTTTGTGTTGTGACTTGATATGCAAGGATAAAAGTAACTAACAGCATTCCAAGTCATGTTGGACCGCCTGTAGGAAAAACTCGACGAGGCAACCTTTCATTTAATAATCTCTTTTTCCCTTTTAATTATTTCATACTTTCTTTCTTTCTCTCCCTCTTTCTCTTTCTTTCTTTCTTTCTCCCTCCTATATCTCTTTCTCTCTCTCTCTCCTCCCCGGTCTCTCTGCAGTATGGAGAGTGGGACAGTGGCAACATGCTGGGTCCCGGGTTCGAGGGGGGAGTCGAGGGGGGCTGCTCAGATGACGAGGATGACAGGGAGACCCTGTTTGGCTCAGAGCTGCTCTCGCCCAGCGGACAGACGGACGTGCAGACCCTTGCCATCATGCTGCAGGAGCAACTGGAGGCCATCAACAAGGAGATCAAGTAAGTATTCAGCTACACCGCAAACAGGAATAATGGGTTTGAGTTCCTAACATACCTAAAAATGCCTCAGAAAACAAATTGGTTAGGTGGTAGAGAAATAAGTGTAGCCAATCCCCAGGTTCAAACCAGAGCATGGGAGCTCAGCCTAACCAGTCAATCACACTTCTCTCTCACTTGAGTATCTTACCTAGTTATTTTCTGATGATCTCATTTTGTAGCTTTGGCAAGTATGTGTGTGTTTCCCATCCCAGTTCGCTCCTCTCCCTGTATGTTTTACAGTTGCTCCCCACCCCGTGGCTGCAACCCTTCTAATTTAGTGTACCCTGCACACACAATCCATGTGGAATTCCTAGTCTCCGGTAGTGTTTGGAACTGCCGATATGCAGCCAATAAGGCCTACACTTTTTGGCCCTGATGGAGACAAGGATTTCCCCAGAGAACACTGCTACTCCAGCTGCTCTCTCGTCATCTGACTATCTGTTTTCTCATAGTTCGAGGGTATTTGGTCATCGGGGTGGTGGCACAGGGCTACTCATTTCTCCTAAGTGGAGATTTTCTCTTCTCCCCCTCACCTGTCTATCTCCTCATTTGAATTCCATGCTGTCACTGTCACTTGTCCACTCAAGCTTAACATTGTTGTCATCTACAGCCCACCAGGTGCCCTTGGAGAGTTCCTCAATGAGATTGACACCTTGATAAGCTCATTTCCCAACGATGGCTCACCACTCATCGTACTGGCCAACATTAACCTCCCGACGCCTGACTTCAATTCATTTCTTTCCACCTCTTTCTTTCCACTCCTTTCCTCTTTTGACCTCACCCTTTCCCAGTCACCTCTCACTCACAAGGCAGGCAATACGCTTGACCTCATCTTCACTAGAGGCTGTTCGCTTACTAATCTCACTGCAAACAGGAGACAAAGGGCTGTGAGACAGAGGTTTAATCCTAGACACATGAAAAGTGGGATGTATGCGGAGGGTGAGGGGCAACAGAAGACGAACAGCAGAGGGGCTGAGGATTTTAGAGATGGGAAAGGGCAGATGAAACGGAGGGAAAGTTTACGGGACTCCACCCGGAGGGGCAGGTCCTGAGTGGAAAGCCATTCCCTCTGCCCGAGCTGATAGCGGGGAGCAGGGGTCCGGTGGCGATCCACCTGTCGCTGATACCTGGATGTGGTTTTCAGAAGAGCGGCCCGGGCTCTCTTCCAGGTACGGCAACAGTGGCGGACGAACATCTGGGCAGAGGGTATGCTAACTTCTTCCTCTTGCTCAGGGAAGAGCGGGGTCTGATATCCCAAGGAATACTCGAAGGGCGAGAGACCAGTGGCCGAGCAGGGAAGGGTGTTACGGGCGTATTCCACTCACACAAGTTGCTGGCTCCAGGTGGTGGGGTTGGCTGAGACGAGGCAACAAAGAGCGTCTCTAGGTCCTGATTGGCTCACTCCGACTGGGGGTGAAAACCAGAGGACAGGCTGGCCGACGACCCAATGAGGGTGCAGAACGCCTTCCAGAACCGGGACGAGAACTGAGGACCACGATCGGAGACCATGTCGACCGGAAGTCCATGGAACCGGAAGAGGTGCTGCACCATGAGCTGAGCCCATTCCTTGGCTGAGGGTAACTTGGGAAGGGGAATAAAATGGGTGGCTTTAGAAAACCTATTCACCACCGTCAGGATCGTGGTGTTGCCATTTGACGGAGGAAGACCAGGAACAAAGTCCAGGGATATATGGGACCAGGGGCGGTGAGGAACAGGGAGTGATTGAAGAAGGTCATCCGGGGCTTGCCGCGGAGTCTTATTTTGTGCACACACAGTGCAGGCGGTGACAAATGCGGAGACATCAGGAACCAAGGAATGCCACCAAAAGCGTAGTCGGATGAAAGCCAGGGTCCGACGGGAGTCTTGATGCCATGTCACTCTCGAGGAATGTGCCCATTCCAGGACCGGGGAACGGGCAGAGTCTGGGACAAACATCTGGCTGCGCCTTTACGGACCAGGCTCTCTATACCCCAGATGAGTGCAGCCACTAGACAGGAGGTAGGGGGGGATGGTCTCAGGGGTCAGCCGGAGTAGCAGCGGAGCTATACAAACGTGAGAGTGCATCAGGCTTCACATTCTTGGACCCCGGGAAGTAGGAGAGAGTGAAATTGAAACGGGTGAATAACAGGGCCCAACGAACCTGCCTAGAGTTGAGGCACTTGGTGGTGCGGAGATATTCCAGGTTCTTATGGTCAGTCCATGCTATGAATGGGTGTTCCGCCCCCTCCAACCAGTGCCTCCACTCCTCCAACGCCTTCTTGATGGCGAGGAGTTCTCGATTTCCCACATCATAGTTCCTCTCAGCAGGGGTAAGACGATGGGAGAGAAAAGCGCAGGGGTGCAGCTTTTGGTCCTGGGCAGAACGCTGGGACAGGACGGCCCCCACTCCGACATCTGAGGTGTCGACCGCCAACACAAACTGACGGGACGGGTCCAGATGGATTAAGATGGGGGCTGTAGTGAATCGATGTTTGAGGTCCAAGAACGCCCGTTTAGCTGCTGGAGACTACGTGAATGGACCTTGGGAGAGGTGAGTGCCGAGAGGGGGGAAGCCAGGGTGCTGTAACCCCGCATGAAGTGACGGTAGAAGTTAGCAAATCCCAGGAAACGTTGCAGCTGCACTCTGGATGTGGGTTGAGGCCAATCCACCACCTCTCTCACCTTGTCTGGATCCATCTGTGTGTGTCCTGCAGCGATGATGTATCCTAGGAAGGAGATGGTAAAGCGATGGAATTCACACTTCTCCGCTTTGACAAAATGCTGGTTCTCCAGGAGATGCTGAAGGACCTGTCGGACTTGGAGGACGTGCTCTTGAGCTGAACGGGAAAAGACAAGGATGTCGTCGAGGTAAACAAACACGAACCGGTTCAGCATGTCCCGGACCACATCGTTGACCAGGGCCTGGAACACAGCGGGAGCGTTGGTCAGTCTCCAGGAGATGCTGAAGGACCTGTCGGACTTGGAGGACGTGCTCTTGAGCTGAATGGGAAAAGACAAGGATGTCGTTGAGGTAGACAAACACGAACCGGTTCAGCATGTCCCGGACCACATCATTGACCAGGGCCTGGAACACAGCCGGAGCGTTGGTCAGTCCGAATGGCATAACCAAGTACTCATAGTGCCCGCTAGCCGTGTAAAAGGCTGTCTTCCACTCGTCTCCTTCCCATATCCGAACCAGGTGGTAGGCGTTCCGAAGGTCCAACTTTGAGAAGATGGTTGCTCCCTGAAGAGGTTCGAAAGCCGAGTAGATGAGTGGTAGAGATTAACGTTTTTTAACCATGATGTCATTAAATCCCTGGTAGTCGATACACGGACGCAGGGTTTTGTCCTTCTTCTCCACAAAGAAGAACCCTGCACCAGCGGGAGAGGCAGATGGACGAATACTCCCTGCAGCGAGTGAGCCCTCAATGTACTCTTCCATAACCTTGGTCTCCGGACCCGACAGGGAGTAAAGCCGCCCCCGAGGTGGTGTAGTGCCCGGGAGAAGGTCAATGGCGCAGTCGTAGGATCGATGCGGAGGGAGAGACGTAGCGCGGGCCTTGTTGAAATTCTCACGGAGGTCCAGGTACGTCCCGAGGCAGGCTGTGCCGACTTAAGACAATGCGCATGGCAGAACGGGCTCCAATCCACGATAGAACCAGTAGCCCAGTCGATCAGGGGATTGTGCTTCTGGAGCCATGAATACCCCAAAACCACGGGTACATGGGGAGATTCTATCAGCAGGAACTGCATACACTCACTGTGATTTCCTGATACTCGTAGGTTGATAGGAACCGTATTGCGGGTGACTCTGCCAATAGAGCGCCCATCCAGCGCTCTGACGTCCATGGGAATGAAGAGGGGTTGAGTGGAGATTCCCAGCTCCGACACCAAGGTAGCGTCGATAAAGCTATCGTCGGCCCCAGAGTCAATGAGCACCCGGAGAGATGTGGCCTGGTCACCCCACAACAGGGTGGCATGGAGAGGGGTACGAGTAATGGGAGATTGGTAAATCCCCGTACGGCTCACCAGAGTGCTCGTACCTACTGATGAGCCTGGTCTTTTTAATGGACAGGTGGAAATATAATGTCCTGTAGTCCCACAATACAGCTCCTGGTGCTCAATCTGCGTAAACGTTCATCCGGAGACAATCTAGCCCTTCCCAGTAGCTTGGGCTCTGGAGTAGTGCCCACGGGGATTCCAGGGTGACATCAGATTCTCTCTGTAAGTTGGACGTTGGGAGGTGGGAGAAGTAGACGAGCGAGTGTGAACGGGAACATACCTCCTCTCCCTCCTACGTTCCCGTAGCCACCCATCGATCCGTAAGGTCAAGGCGATGAGGGAGTCGAGGTCCATGGGAAGCTCCCAGGCTGCGAGCTCGTCTTTAACCTCCTCCGATAATCCGTGAAGGAACGTGTCGAAAAGAGATTCCGGGTTCCAGGCACTCTCAGCGGCCAACGTGCGAAAATATACTGCGTAGTCTGCCACACTACGGGAGTTTTGACACAGTTTGAGTAGCATCCGAGCATCCTCTCTCCCAGACAACGGAGAGTCGAACACCGTCCTTATTTCCGCCACGAAATCCTCCAGCCTAAGACAAACGGTGGATTGTTGCTCCCACACTGCCGTAGCCCAGGCGAGTGCCTTTCCGGGCGAGTGCCCTTCCGTTATAAGATACACTATCTTTGAACAGTCCGATGGAAACGAAGAGGGCTGCAGCTCGAAAATGGGAGGGAAACGCCCAGCAGGTTCCCAGGATCCCCCACGTAGCGCTCCGGAGGAGGTAGGCTGGGGAGAAGCACCCCTGGTAGCGGGGTTACTGAGAGTCTGGGAGGTTTCCGTTGTGGCTTGCTGCCTAATAGATAGTCCGCGGAATTGTTCCAACAATGCACTGACGGCATGGTCATGGTGTTCCGCCAAGGTGTAGAATCCTTCCATAAGGTTAAGTAGTAACTCCTTGTGTCTTCCAATGGTGACTCCTTGTGAGGAGACAGTGTTGCAGAGCTGGTCCGAGTCTGCTAGGTCAGTCATGGCCAGTTTGTACTATCAGGGCTCAGGCTAAGACCCAGATGCAGACACAGGAGGCGGATAGTACGAGTCTCAGTTTATTACAAAACAAGGGGCAGGCAAAAGGTAAGTCAAGGCAGGCAAACAGTCGTAATCCAAATCAGAGTCAGGCAGGTACAGGACAGCAGGCAGGATCAGGGTCAGGACAGGCAGAAAGGTCAGAACTGGGAAGACTAGGAAAAACAAAAAAAATAGAGCACAGGGTGTGACACTTTCTAGCACTCTAAATTTCAAGCTTCTTTGCCCCAACCCTGGGAAACTCTTCTCCTCTTTCTCCTCCCTCTTTAATCTTCCACCACCTCGCCCACCCTCCTCCCTCTCTGCGGATGACTTTGTCAACCACTTTTAAAAAAAGCTGACAACTTCCGCTCCTCTTTCACTAAGCCTACTGAGTCCAATTGGTCCCACACACACAGAACTCCCATACACCTTGACCTCTTTCTTCCCCTCTCTCCAGATGAAATCCTGTGACTAATGATGTCCGGCCGCCCGACAACCTGCACACTTGACCCATCACCTCCTCCCTTCTCCAGATCATCTCTGGGAGACCTTCTCCCATTGCTCACTTCCCTCATCAACTCATCCCTGAACACTGACTTCAAGATGGTCAGAGTCGCTCCCCTTCTCAAGATACCATCCCTTCTTTCTTTTCTTTCCAAAACACTTGAGCGTGCTGTCTCTGACCAACTCTCTCGTTATCTCTCTCAGAATGATCTTCTTGACCCTAACCGGCTCACTCAACTGAGACCACTCTCCTCTGTGTCACAGAGGCTCTCCGCTCTGCCAAAGCTCTCTCCTCTGTTCTCATCCTCCGATAACTATCCGCTGTAAACCATAAGATCCTCCTCTCCCCTCTCAGGGTTGGGCGTCTCAGGCTCTGCACACTCCTGGATTGCATCCTACCTGGCAGGTCGCTCCTACCAGTTGGCGTGGAGAGGATCTACGTCTGCACCACGTGATCTCACTACTGGTGTCCCCCAGGGCTCGGTTCTAGGCCCTCTCTCCTCTTTTCTCTTTACACGACATCACTCAGCTCTGTCATATCCTCACATGGTCTCTCCTATCATTGCTATGCGGATGACACTCAGTTACTTTTCTCCTTCCCCCTTCTGACACCCAGGTGGCGACACGCATCTCTGTGTGCCTGGCAGACACCTCAGCTTAGATGTCGGCCCACCACCTCAAGCTCAACCTCGACAAAACAGAGCTGCTCTTCCTCCCAGGAAAGGCCTACCCGCTCCAAGACCTGTCCATCACGGTTGACACCTCCACGGTTTTCCCCTCCCAGAGTGCAAAGAACCTTGGCGTGACCCTGGACAACACCCTTGTCGTTCTCTGCAAACATCAAAGCAGTGACTCGCTTCTCCGCACACTCCACTGGCTTCCAGTCGAAGCATTCATTATCTTCAAGACCCTGGTGCTTGCCTACGGAGCAGCAAGGGGAACTGCACCTTCTTACCTTCAAGCTATGCTCAAACCCTATATCCCAATTCCGCCACCTCTGGTCTCTTGGCCCTCCCACCCCTACAGTAGGGCAGCTCCCCCTCAGCCCAGTCAAAGCCCCTTCTCTGTCGTGGCATAAAAAAATCTAATTAAATAAACAAATAAAAAACACTTATATTTTCCCATTAGCACTGACTTTGCTGCTACTTACTTTGTTGAGGGAAAATGTACTTGATACGATTGTGATGTGTTGTTGTCTCACCTAGCTATTTTAAGATGAAGTCGCTCTGGATAACAGCATCTGCTAAATGACAAAAATGTAAATGTAAATGTAACCAGTGGCGGCTCCTGAAAAAATTCTCAGGGGGGGGCAATTTTTCTGATGATTTAGGTGACCTACACACATTTTAAAAAAGATATGTCCAGCAACAACATGAAGACAGGGGCAGCATATAAGTCAATACCAGAAGCATTTATTGACTGATCTCAAAAGTGTTGGCTTACAAAAGCAAAATAAGTTATCACAGTAAAAATAATCAAGGGTGTTCTTTCACATTCCTCAACACTGCATAAACAATATGCATTTCCATAAAACACCTCATCTAATTGTGCCACAAAGTTGACAAGTCCAAGAAAAATACCAGGGTTGGTGGAGCCCTCAGTTTCATCTTTGCCTCGCAAAGCTAACTCAAACACTCCGCAAAACTTCACACACTGGATTAGCCGGCTGAGGATGTGGCGGTTCTTGCTAACCTCATCGTTGTGGCGGCGGACAGCTAGCCTGTATCCCTCATCCAGTTGAGTGGCAATGTTCACTCTCCCCAAAGCAGACAATCTCAAACAGCTATCCATGTGGGTCTTTGACAGCTCATGTTTCTTAATCTTTTCTGAAAGATGGTGCATGTCCGTTACACCAGTCGCTGTCCAAGCGGTGCTGTCTGCCGTGCCGCCTTCAGGGTGAAAGAGTAAGCAGGGGTAGCAGAAGACTGCATTAGCTACATCGCAGCCTGCTAGCCAGGTTTTTCGTTCGTACCAATTTTTGGAAAATCCTCGGGTGTAGGACTTTCCCCCTTTAGTAGAAACCTGTTGAATTATTAAATTTGGTCTGGGAGGTCCTAATTGTTTCGTTGCCAATTTATCTTGATTTGTTCGCCGACAAAAAGGAACTTCTTTCAAAGAGACAATCGAGTTGCACTGAACGCTAGCCATCTTGACAGTAGTACGTGAATTGATTGACGCTGCTACCCGCTCTTTTCTTAGTTACGTTCATGGTTATGTTACGTATGACGAAAGCGCGTAAGTGCAAGCCCTCCCGGAACCCATAGAGATTGTATTGAAAGCTCTGATATTTGAAAAAAAAAAAGATTTTACATGAGAGTCTATGAGAGACTTCTGGGGCGATTTTCAACCTGACTGAAATCGCCCCAAAAGGGGCGGGGCCATTTGAAGCACGACTTTAGCCTGATTGGACATTTAGTGGCAGATCAGACGTCTAGATTAGAACACTGATAACTACTGTTGCCGTGATATAATTGATTAGAAAAAAAATCCCTTCCTTTTCCCGTTTGGCAGTGCGTCGCCCATATCACCCTAATGAACACACCGCCCCTGAATGTAACCATAGCTACAATAACAATACTAATACGTTCTTAGAATAGGTGGAAGCTCACACTGCTCACACAGGGAAGAAGCTGAGACTGGAATAACATTCTGATATTTATTGTGGACAACGTCTCTTTTCAAAATGGTACCAAGTATTTTAAAAGTATTGTTTTATTGTTAATTTCATTATCTTTCCTTTGCCAATGACGATAAAATACACAATAGTGTTCAGTCCTTGTTGACTATGCCACTGCAAGGTAGGCCCGAAGTGCAGATTAGCATTAGTGCACTCGAGGAATGGGCCGTGGTGAAAGTTCAGAGTTCTAGGAGAGTCGCGTCAAGGCCACCCACAACATCCTCATAAGAACTGCAAGACAGAGAACTGGGGACAGTTTGACGTTTGAATCACTGAATAACTCTGTCTATCAGTCTATGTTAAATCATCAGGAACAATAGCAAAGCAATATGTCCACGGACTAAACCAAATCAAAATAGAGTGTTCCACAAAGACAGGAGATCATTCAAATAATAACTAAAGCTAAAACCCAAACTCGCTCCACTAGTCAAGAACACACACACAAGCACACATAAGCACTCACCAGTAATTCTACCACCAGCTACTAGTAGGCTACTAAAGCAATTCCTGGCCTCGTCTTCTTCAATTATGTTCGCCTAGTTTGGACAAGCTCACCAGATTCCCAGTAGTCGACGGGCCCTGTCGAACTCCCAGTGAGTGTGGTGTTGCGCCTATACGTGGCCGCCATCTGCTTCTTTCCGTCTGCTTCTATTCGTCTACTTCTCGTCCGTGCTTGCTTCGTCGCTGGTTCTGTTAGCTAACTGGCTGTGGCTGTTGAGGTAGTGTTTGATATTGTAGCGAGTGCGGGAGGAGAGAGAGAGAAAGGTGTGTCCATCCCTCATTATAAGGGGATCCAAGCAAGTGCGCCCGTTCAGGTAATCAGAGGCAACCTAACATGAGTTGGGTTCACACAACAAAGGGGCCAGTTAACAGCATGCAATTGACACATTGTATACAAATCACATTAACCCCCTTTTGCCACATATGAAATATCTTCTATCCCCATTCAATGGGGGATCCAGAGGTCAATTCCACATACAAAAACACATATCTAAAAATGACCTCTGCCTTTGCTTTGTACAAACCAGGAGTGAATACCACAGATACAGAAAGAAAGACTTACACCTCCTTTGCTTTACTCAATCTAGAGGTTTATTCCACAAGCATATTATTATGGAGTGATACCACAAACATGTATTCCTCATCTCATTGCGGCTATCCTCAGTTTAGGAGTAAAATCAGGAGTTATGTTCCTCTTTTTGTACCCTCTCCTCTCCTTAACTCTGTACTCCTGAGTGGCGCAGTGGTCTAAGGCACTGCATCGCAGTGCTAACTGTGCCACTAGAGATCCTGGTTCAAATCCAGGCTCTGTCGCAGCCGGCCGCGACCGGGAGACTCATGGGCGGCGCACAATTGGTCCAGGGTAGGGGAGGGAATGGCCGGCAGGGATGTAGCTCAGTTGATAGAGCATGGCGTTTGCAACGCCAGGGTTGTGGGTTCGATTCCCATGGGGGGCCAGTATAAAAAATATATATGTGTTCACTAACTGTAAGTCGCTCTGGATGAGAGCGTCTGCTAAATGATGTAAATGTAACTCCCTCTGTTTTCTTCCTCACTTTTCCACTGCCCTCCACTTGCCCCCTCCATCTCATCTCTCTTCCGCTCCTCCCCTTTCTCCTCTACTCTCTCTTTCCCCATCTCCTCTCAGGCTGATCCAGGAGGAGAAGGAGAGCACTGAGCTGAGGGCAGAGGAGATCGAGAGCCGGGTGAGCAGCGTGGCCCTGGACTCCTCCCCTCTCCCCCCCTCCTCACTGGGCGGGGGCAGAGACAGTGTGGGGAGGGGCTACATGACCCCCTCCCTTACCTCCTCCACCCTGGCCTCCCCTTCGCCCCCCAGCTCTGGACATTCCACACCCCGACTGCCACATTCCCCTGCCAGAGAGTCAGACAGACAGGTACAGTACCTTACGGCTGTGGCTATCTGTGGTTGGACACATTTTTCATTTCAATGTACAGTTGAAGTCGGAAGTTTACATACACCTTTGCCAAATACATTTAAACTCAGTTTTTCACAATTCCTGATATTTAGTCCTAGTAAAAATTCCCTGTCTTAGATCAGTTAGGATCACCACTTTATTTTAAGAATGTGAAATGTCAGAATAATAGTAGAGAGAATGATTTATTTCAGCTTTTATTTATTTCATCACATTCCCAGTGGGTCAGAAGTTTACATACACTCAATTAGTATTTGGTAGCATTGCCTTTACATTGTTTAACTTGGGTCAAATGCTTCGGGTAGCCTTCTACAAGCTTCCCACAATAAGTTGGGTACATTTTGGCCCATTCCTCTTGACAGAGCTGGTGTAACTGAGTCAGGTTTGTAGGCCTCCTTGCTCGCACACGCTTTTTCAGTTCTGCCCACACATTTCTATAGTATTGAGGTCAGGGCTTTGTGATGGCCACTCCAATACCTTGACTTTGTTGTCCTTAAGCCATTTTGCCACAACTTTGGAAGTATACTTGGGGTCATTGTCCATTTGGAAGACCCATTTGCGACCAAGCTTTAACTTCCTGACTGATGTCTTGAGATGTTGCTTCAATATATCCACATCATTTTCCTTCCTCATGATGCCATCTATTTTGTGAAGTGCACCAGTCCCCCCTGCAGCAAAGCACCCCCACAGCATGATGCTTCCACCCCCGTGCTTCACAGTTGGGATGGTGTTCTTCGGCTTGCAAGCCCCCCCTTTTTCCTCCAAACATAACGATGGTCATTATGGCCAAACAGTTCTATTTTTGTTTAATCAGACCAGAGGATATTTCTCCAAAAAGTACAATCTTTGTCCCAATGTGCAGTTGCAAACCATAGTCTGGCTTTTTTATGGTGGTTTTGGAACAGTGGCTTCTTCCTTGCTGAGCGGCCTTTCAGGTTATGTCGATATAGCACTCGTTTTATTGTGGATATAGATACTTTTGTACCTGTTTCCTCCAGCATCTTCACAAGGTCCTTTGCTGTTGTTCTGGCATTGATTTGCACTTTTTACACCAAAGTACATTCATCTCTAGGAGACAGAATGCGTCCCCTTCCTGAGCGGTATGACGGCTGCGTGGTCCCATGATGTTTATACTTGCATACTATTGTTTGTACAGATGAACGTGGTACCTTCAGGCGTTTGGAAATTGCTCCCAAGGATGAACCCAGACTTGTGGAGGTCTACAATTTGTTTTCTGAGGTCTTGGCTGATTTCTTTTGATTTTACCATGATGTCAAGCAAAGAGGCACTGAGTTTGAAGGTAGGCCTTGAAATACATCCACAGGTACACCTCCAATTGACTCAAATGATGTCAATTTGCCTATTAGAAGCTTCTAAAGCCATGACATCATTTTATGGAATTTCCCAAGCTGTTTAAAGGCACAGTCAACTTAGTGTATGTAAACTTCTGACCCACTGGAATTGTGATACAATGAATTATAAGTGAAATAATCTGTCTGTAAACAATTGTTGGAAAAATGACTTGTGTCAAGCAGAAAGTAGATGTCCTAACCGACTTGCCAAAACTATAGTTTGTTAACAAGAAATTTGTGGAGTGGTTGAAAAACGAGTTTTAATGACTCCAACCTAAGTGTATGTAAACTTCCGACTTCAACTGTATGACTTCTTGGTTGTGGCTACCCAATGGGTAAGGCTAATTGAAATTGCATCATAATATCAGTTTACAATAAGAGCTGATTGAGATGGTGCTGATGGAGATGGTCAACTTGAGAACAAGATGGATGAGCTTCGTTTGAGAGTTTCCTACCAACGGGACGTGAAAAGTTATAATATTCTATGCTTTTCAGAAATTTGGATGACGGGCAATATGGACATAAAACTCAAGGGTTTGTCTATGCTTCGTCGCACCCGGACAGCAGACTCGGGCAAAACCAAAGGGGGAGGGGTGTGCCTCTTCGTAAACAACAACTGGTGTGCTGCTTCACTAGAATACCTTATGGTAAATTGCACACCTTTTTGTCTACCAAGGGAGTTTTCATCTCTAATCATCACTGCTGTCTACATCCCACCACAAAACGAGAATGGCACTAAGCAGGCACTCAACGAGCATACAAGGCCCTCGCTTGCCCTCCCTTCGGCAAATCAGACCATGACTCCATCCTCCTGCTTCCTGTTTACAAGCAAAAACTCAAACAGGAAGTACCAGTGACATGCTCAGTATGGAAGTGGTCCGAAGAAGTGGACGCTAAGCTAAAAGACGGCTTCACTAGCACAGACTGGAATATGTTCAGGGCTTCATCCGATAACATTGAGGACTTTACCACATCAGTCACGGGCTTCATCAATAAGTGCATCAACAACATCCTCCCCACAGTGACCGTACATACAGTGGGGAAAAAAAGTATTTACTCAGCCACCAATTGTGCAAGTTCTCCCACTTAAAAAGATGAGAGAGGCCTGTAATTTTCATCATAGGTACACGTCAACTATGACAGACAAAATGAGGAAAAAAAATCCAGAAAATCACATTGTAGGATTTTTTATGAATTTATTTGCAAATTATGGTGGAAAATAAGTATTTGGTCAATAACAAAAGTTTCTCAATACTTTGTTATATACCCTTTGTTGGCAATGACACAGGTCAAACGTTTTCTGTAAGTCTTCACAAGGTTTTCACACACTGTTGCTGGTATTTTGGCCCATTCCTCCATGCAGATCTCCTCTAGAGCAGTGATGTTTTGGGGCTGTCGCTGGGCAACACGGACTTTCAACTCCCTCCAAAGATTTTCTATGGGGTTGAGATCTGGAGACTGGCTAAGCCACTCCAGGACCTTGAAATGCTTCTTACGAAGCCACTCCTTCGTTGCCCGGGCGGTGTGTTTGGGATCATTGTCATGCTGAAAGACCCAGCCACGTTTCATATTCAATGCCCTTGCTGATGGAAGGAGGTTTTCACTCAAAATCTCACAATACATGGCCCCATTCATTCTTTCCTTTACACGGATCAGTCGTCCTGGTCCCTTTGCAGAAAAACAGCCCCAAAGCATGTTGTTTCCACCCCCATGCTTCACAGTAGGTATGGTGTTCTTTGGATGCAACTCAGCATTCTTTGTCCTCCAAACAAGACGAGTTTAGTTTTTTCCAAAAAGTTATATTTTGACCATATGACATTCTCCCAATCCTCTTCTGGATCATCCAAATGCACTCTAGCAAACTTCAGACGGGCCTGGACATGTACTGGCTTAAGCAGGGGGACACATCTGGCAATGCAGGATTTGAGTCCCTGGCGGCGTAGTGTGTTACTGATGGTAGGCTTTGTTACTTTGGTCCCAGCTCTCTGCAGGTCATTCACTAGGTCCCCCCGTGTGGTTCTGGGATTTTTGCTCACCGTTCTTGTGATCATTTTGACCCCACGGGGTGAGATCTTGCGTGGAGCCCCAGATCGAGGGAGATTATCAGTGGTCTTGTATGTCTTCCATTTCCTAATTATTGCTCCCACAATTGATTTCTTCAAACCAAGCTGCTTACCTATTGCAGATTCAGTCTTCCCAGCCTGGTGCAGGTCTAGAATTTTGTTTCTGGTGTCCTTTGACAGCTCTTTGGTCTTGGCCATAGTGGAGTTTGGAGTGTGACTGTTTGAGGTTGTGGACAGGTGTCTTTTATACTGATAACAAGTTCAAACAGGTGCCATTAATACAGGTAATGAGTGGAGGACAGAGGAGCCTCTTAAATAAGAAGTTACAGGTCTGTGAGAGCCAGAAATCTTGCTTGTTTGTAGGTGACCAAATACTTATTTTCCACCATAATTTGCAAATAAATTCATTAAAAGTCCTACAATGTGATTTTCTGGATTTTTTTTCTCTCAATTTGTCTGTCATAGTTGACGTGTACCTATGATGAAAATTACAGGCCTCTCTCATCTTTTTAAGTGGGAGAACTTGCACAATTGGTGGCTGACTAAATACTTTTTTCCCCCACTGTACGTATCCTAACCAAAAGCCATGAATTACAGGCAGTATCCACGCCGGGCTAAAGGCTAGAGCTCCACATTTTCAAGGAACAATACATAGGCATGAACGCTTCCAAGAAAGCCCGCTACAACCACCGACTAGACATCAAACACCGAAAAGGTCAATATAGGACTAAGATAGAATCCTACCATACCGGCTCAGACGCTCGTCGGATCTGGAAGGGTTTGCAGACTATTAAGGATTACAAAGGGAAACCCAGCCGTGAGTTGCCCAGTGACGCAAACCTCCCAGACGAGCTGAATGCCTTTTATGCTCGCTTCGAGGCAAACAACACTGAGCTAGGCATGAGAGCCCCTGCTGTTCCGGACGACTGTGTGATCTCGCTCTCCGTGGTCGATGTGAGTAAGACTTTTAAACAGATTAACACTCGCAAGGCCGCTGGGCCAGATGGAATACCAGGGCGCTTTCTCAGAGCATACGCAGACCAGCTGGCAAGTGTCTTCACTGACATTTTTAACATCTCCTTGTCCCAGTCTGTAATCCCAACATGTTTCAAACAGACCACCATTGTCCCTGTTCCTAAGAATTCAAAGGTAACCCGCCTAAACGATTATCGTCCCGTAGCACTCACATCTGTAACCATGAAATGCTTTGAAAGGCTGATCATGGCACACATCAACACCATCATCCCAGACACCTCCTGTACTCCCTGTTCACCCACAACTGTGTGGCCACGCAAGCCTCCAACACCATCATCAAGTTTTCTAAAGACGACGGTGGTAGGCCTGATCACTGACGACGATGAGACAGCCTACAGGGAGAAGGTCAGAGACCTGGCAGTGTGATGCCAGGACAACAACCTCTCCCTCAACGTCAGTAAGACAAAGGAGCTGATTGTGGACTACAGGAAACAGAGGGGTGAGCACGCCCCCATCCACTTCGACAGGGCTGTAGTGGAGCGGGTCGAGAGCTTCAAGTTCCTCTGTGTCCATATCACCAAGGACTTAACATGGACCTCTCACACCAGCACAGTCGTGAAGAAGGCGCAACAGGTTGAAAAGATTTGGCAGGCCCCTCAGCCCCTCAAAAAGTTTTACAGCTGCACCATTGAGAGCATCTTGACTAGCTGCCTCACCGCTTGGTATGGCAACTGCACCGCCCTCAATCACAAGGCTCTACAAAGGTTGGTGCGGACAGCTTAGTATATCACTGGGGTAGAGGTCTTCACGTATCCACCTGTACCCGAATACCGGGACCCGATCCGGGAACGGAGCACGTCCAGATGCAGAATTCTAAATAATGTCACAGGTGTGGGTTAGATTTGATATGATTGTTACGGGTCTCGGGTATGTGTAATTGTAACTGACGTGTCCGGAAGGGCCCGTACAGATCCGAATGTGACTGCTGCAGTAGAGAGAGAGATAAATGTTATTATTTATGTTGCTGCTCTTGCTTTTCACGAGAGCGGAGCATGGCGCGTGTAGCTTGTTGTTGGCCAATCATGAGTCATCAAAGTGGCAATAGGCTACAGTCATAGAGCCTTCCTCCGTGTGTGGCAAACGTTAGATATCTAATCAATGGAAGCTGGAATTAAAATGACAGAATTAAAAGTTAAAGGAGAACGATAGACCACAACGACCAAGAGCCAACAGGTAGGCTGCTACTTAATATTCTGAATGGAGTTGTTGTTATTTGTAACTATAGGATTAGAAAGCGCATGCACTTCAGCCTCAGTTAGCCTAGCTAGCTAACGTTAGCTAGCTTAACTAACTTCTCCCGGTTTGATGCAGTCAAGACAGGTACTACGTAATCATATTTGATGATAAATAACCTAGCTATAGCAGATATTAGTCTAATACAGCGTGAGTCGGCTTGGTTGGTTGCTGTCTCTCATCTCTCACTCCCTTCTCCCCGTGTCACTCACAGTACGGCCCCTCCCCACCTGCTACAGCGGCACCGCTCTTCCTCCTCCCGCGCTTTATCAGCACCGACACCAGTACTGTAGCTTAAAAAGTGAATTTTCTGCTGCTTCCCTAACTTGGATTGGACTGGGTTTGGATCCGACCAGGTCTATAGAGAACGGGTCAAGTTGTCCTCGGGTCCATTCGGAAAGGGTCTCTATATTTTAAAAATGAATTTACGCATATCGGGTCCAGTTGGGAAAGCCCCAGGTCCATTTCGGAATGGGTCCAACTTTTTGGACCCATGAAAACCTCTACACTGGGGTTGAACTCCCTGCCATCCAGGACCTCTATACCAGGTGGTGTCAGAGGAAGGCCCAAAAAATTGTCAAAGACCCCAGCCACCTAAGCCATAGACTGTTCACTACTACCGCACGGCAAGCGGTAGCGGAGCGCCAAGTTTGGGACAAAAAGGCACCTGAACAGCTTCTACCCCCAAGCCATAAGACTGCTGAACAGTTAATCAAATGGCTACCCGGGTTGACCCTTTTTTAGAACTCTTTCTTACATTGATTCTATGCACACTCACTGGTCTTTACCCACACACTCACACATACAGTGCATTCGGAAAGTATTCAGACCCCTTCACTTTTTCCACATTTTATTACATTACAGCCTAATTCTAAAATTGATTAAATTGTTGTTGTTTTTACTCATCAATGTACACACAATACAGGTCGTTAGAAATTTGTGCAAATTTATAAAAATTTATCACATTTACATAAGTATTCAGACCCTTTACTCAGTACTTTGTTGAAGCACCTTTGGCAGCGATTACAGCCTCAAGTCTTCTTGGGTATGATGCTACTAGCTTGGCACACCTGTATTTGGGGAGTTTCTCCCATTCTTCTTTGAAGATCCTCTCAAGCTCTGTCAGGTTGGATGGGGAGCGTCGCTGCACAGCTATTTTCAGGTCTCTCCAGAGATGTTAGATCGGGTTTAAGTCCGGGCTTTGGCTGGGCCACTCAAGGACATTCAGAGACTTGTCCTGAAGCCACTCTTGTGTTGTCTTGGCTGTGTGCTTAGGGTCGTTGTCCTGTTGGAAGGTGAGCCTTCAGCCCAGAGTGAGGTCCTGAGCACTCTGGAGCAGGTTTTCATCAAGGATCTCTCTGTACTTTGCTCCGTTCATCTTTCCCTCGATCCTGATTAATCTCCCAGTCCCTGCTGTTGAAAAACATCCCCACAGTATAATGCTGCCACCACCATGCTTCATCGTAGGGATGGTGCCAGGTTTCCTCCAGACGTGACGCTTGGCATTCAAGCCAAAGAGTTCAATCTTGGTTTCATCAGACCAGAGAATCTTGTTTCTCATGGTCTGAGAGTCTTCAAGTGCCTTTTGGCAAACTCCGAGCGGGCTGTCATGTGCCTTTTACTGAGGAGTGGCTTCCGTCTGGCCACTCAACCATAAAGGTCTGATTGGAGGAGTGCTGCAGAGATGGTTGTCCTTCTGGAAGGCTCTCCCATCTCCACAGAGGAACTCTGGAGCTCTGTCAGAGTGACCATCGGGTTCTTGGTCACCTCCCTGACCAAGGCCCTTCTCCCCCGATTACTCAGTTTGGCCGGGCGGCAAGCTCTAGGAAGAGTCTTGGTGGTTCCAAACTTCTTCCATTTAAGGATGATGGAGGCCACTGTTTTAGGGGACCTTCAATGCTGCAAACAATCCTGTCTCGGAGCTCTATGGACAATTTGGTTTTTTGCTCTGACATGCACTGTCAACTGTGGGACCTTGTATAGTCCAAATCATGTCCAATCAATTGAATTTACCACAGGTAGACTCCAATCAAGTTGTAGAAACAGCTCAAGGATGATCAATGGAAACAGGATGCACCTGAGCTCAATTTCGAGTCTCATAGCAAAGGGTCTGAATACTTATATAAATAAGGTATTTCCGTTTTGTTTTTTTCATAAATTAGCAAACATTTCTAAAACCTGTTTTCGCTTTGTCATTATGGGGTATTGTGTGTAGATTGATGAGGATTTTGTTTATTTAAACCATTTTAGAATAAGGCTTTAACGCAAAATGTGGAAAAAGTGAAGGGGTCTGAATACTTTCCCAATGCACTGTACTTACACATACACTCTAACACACACACACACACGCACGCTACATACACTCACACACACAAAACACCTACACATTCATATTGACTCCACACAAACACACACACACATTGTCACACTCTCCACATACGCTGTCCGGACTATTTGCATTGACCCCCCCTTTTTTTACGCTGCTGGTACTTGCTGTTTATTATCTATGCATAGTCACTTTACCCCTGCCTACATGTACATATTACCTCAATTACCTCGACTAACCTGTACCACCACACTTTGACTCGGTACCGGTTCCCCCTGTATATAGCCTTGTTATTGTTATTTTATTGTGTTACTTTTATTGAATTTTTTTACTTTAGTTTATTTAGTCAACTCATATTTTTCTTAACTGCATTGTTGGTTAAGGGCTTGTAAGTAAGCAAATCACGGTACGGTCTACCTAACCCTGTTGTATTCGGCGCATGTGACAAATACAATTTGATTTGATTTGTAATCTGTTTGTAATAACTTAATTTCAACTAGTTTTTCCCGCTGGGTAAAGGAGCTTCTTCTTTATGTCTGCACTGTGTTTGATTGTGTTTGTTTGTGTGTTTGGTGAGAAAAACTAATATGGAAAACTGTGGTATTACTGTTGCTGCAGGTCTAAAGTGTACTGTGACTTAATCAAGCTGAAATGTTTACAGTACAACAAATAATTGCATTTTCTATTGTGATTTAAATGGCTGGAACTGTTTATAAGGTCATTTGTTTGCTAGTTTGCTAGTTTAAAGGACAAATCCACAAAAAAACTATATTTTGGTATTTTTGTCATTAGTCCACAGTTAATACAGTCCCCAAATGTTTTGCATGTCAGCAGTCAAGACTTTTAAGAAGCAAAGTGTCACCGGCCACATCATGATGATACAAAATGCTGTGATGATGATGTGGCCGGTGACACTAAAATAGTTCCCTACAGTGACTCAATTGAACTGATTCTCTGTCAATACAGAACAGCAAAGAGGGCGACGACTGCCGGGCGCTAGCATTGATTGACTCCACACCTCCTCCGGTTCCTCGTGCTCTGCGATTGGACAGAATGACTCACACACACCCAGGGGCTGGGCTGGATGATCACCGCGAATTCCGCAGGTACAGTTATTACTTTAGTCAATATTGAGACAATGTTGTGTGGTGTTTGTGTGTTTGCTGGGAAGCTAGGTAATGGCATTGATATGACTCCCTATTGAAATTAAGGTTGAATAAAATAAAATCTAAAATACATTAATGCCAATAGAATGGATATATAATAGACTAGATTACCAACTATTTCAGAGACAATCATGTATACTGAGCAAAAATATAAACGCAACATGTAAAGTGTTGTTCCCATGTTTCTCTCACATTTTGTGCACAAATTTGTTTACATCAGTGTTAGTGAGCATTTCTCCTTTGCCAACATAATCAATCCACCTGACAGGTGTCGCATATCAAGAAGCTGATTAAACAGCATGATCATTACACAGATGCACCTTGTGCTGGGGACAATAAAAGGCCACTCTAAAATGTGCAGTTTTGTCACACAATGCCACTGATGTGTCAAATTTTGATGGAGTGTGCAATTGGCATGCTGACTGCAGGAATGTCCACCAGAGCTGTTGCCAGATAATTTAATGTTCATTTCTCTACCATAAGCCGCCTCCAATGTTGTTTTAGAGAGTTTGGCAGTACTCACAACCAGCCTCACAACCGCAGACCACGTTTATGGCATTGTGTGGGCGAGCGGTTTGCTGATGTCAATGTTGTCAACAGAGTTCCCCATCATGGCGGTGGGGTTATGGTATGGGCATACATAAGCTACGGAAAACGAACACAATTGCATTTTATCTATGGCATTTTGAATGAACAGAGATACCGTGACGAGATCCTGAGGCCCATTGTCGTGCCATTCATCCGCCGCCATCACCTCGCGTTTCAACATGATAATGCACAGCCCCATGTCGCAAGGATCTGTACACATTTCCTGGAAGCTGAAAATGTCCCAGTTCTTCCATGGCCTGCATACTCACCAGACATGTCACCCATTGAGCATGTTTGGTATACTTTGGATAGACGTGTACGACAGAGTGTTCCAGTTCCCGCCAATATCCAGCAACTTCGCATAGTCATTGAAGAGGAGTGGGACAACATTCCACAGGCCACAATCAACAGCCTGATCAACTCTATGCGAAGGAGATGTGTCACGCTGCATGAGGCAAATGGTGGTCACACCAGATACTGACTGTTTTTTCTCATCCACGCTCCTACCTTTTTTTTAAAGGTATCTGTGACCAACAGATCCATATCTGTATTCCCAGTCATGTGAAATCCATAGATTAGGGCCTAATGAATTTATTTCAATTGCCTGATTTCCTTATATGAACTGTAACTCAGTAAAATCTTTGAAATGGTTGCATGTTTTTGTTCACCAGTGATGTTCTGTGAATAATTTGCAACCACCAGTAGTCAGGACTCTCTCCACAAAGCCAGCAAGAAGAAGAGCATCAAGTCCTCCATTGGACGCCTGTTTGGGAAGAAGGAGAAGGGGAGGATCGGAGGACCTGGGAGTCAGTCTGCCTCTCTAGGTAAGTCAATATAGAGGGTTGACCATGTGTGTGGTGTGAGGGTAAGAAACAATGAAAGGTTGCTTGTATTTTGCACACGAAGTGTTTACTTATACAGTATACACTAATATACACTGAGTATACAAAACATTAAGGACACCTGCTCTTTCCATGACACAGACTGACCAGGTGAATCCAGGTGAAAGCTAGGATCCCTTATTAATGGCACTTATTAAATCCACTTCAATCAGTGTAGATGAAAGGGAGACAGGTTAAAGAAAGATTTTTATGTCTTGAGACTATTGAGACATGAGCTGTGTTCGAATACCCATACTAACATACTGTATACTACATACTTAATGGGTATATACTACATACTATATGCTAGTTCATTTTAGTATATTGTAAACTAACGGTATCCTTTCAGTTGAGTGTACTAGCGCTTCGCCTGTCTACCAGAAGTTGATGCTGTTGCTATGCAACTTCTTGCTAGCTGGTTAGCATAATTAACAAATGACTAGCTAGACATCTTACGACTTCATTAACAATGTCCACTTGTCTGTCGGCCCTGCATTAAAGACCATCATTGGTTAAAGAACATTGTGATAAATAAGAAACTACACCAGTTTCATTTAAAGACCAAAGGATTGACAGCTGTCCCATATAGATTGCAAAATAGTTGGGAAGAGATTTTTGACGTACCGATTCCATGGCAAATGGTTTATAATAATAATAAATAATATGCCATTTAGCAGACGCTTTTATCCAAAGCGACTTACAGTCATGCGTGCATTATTTTTTTTATTTTTTTTGTGTATGGGTGGTCCCGGGGATCGAACCCACTACCTTGGCGTTACAAGCGCCGTGCTCTACCAGCTGAGCTACAGAGGTAGCTTAGTGGTTAAGAGCGTTGTGCCAGTTACCGAAAGGTCGTAGGTTCTAATCCCCGAGCCGACTAGGTGAAAAATATGTCGATGTGCCCTTGAGCAAGGCACTTAACCCTAATCGCTCTGGATAAGAGCGTCTGCTAAATGACTAAAATGTAAATGTAATGAACTGATACGCAAAACGACGCCGGATTCAAAACTTATAATTTTTCAATTTAAATTATTATACCAAATTCTTGCTACCAATAGAATGTTAGTTATATGGGGGATACAATCTTCCCAGCTCTGCAGATTTTGCTGCGAAGAGACTGAATCATTAGATAATTTGTTTTGGTACTGTCCATTTGTAGCTTGTTTTTGGTCACAGGTCCAAGAATGGCTGAAGGATTGCAATATTTACCTGGAGCTAACCCTGCACTACTGGGTGATCTGAAAAGTCATAGTCAATCGATCAATAATATAATAATACTTTTAGCAAAACATTTTATATTCAATTTACAATCTGTAGAAACAATGAGAATAGAAGGGTTTAGAACTTTTGTGAAACATCACAGTACAGTTGAAAAATATATGGCAAATAGAAATCCAATATGGATGGTGTTAAGAGATAGATGGGAGGGGTTGAATGGAGCTGAAGGTTGGGACTAATAACAACTAATAACAACAAAATAACTAATGTAAAACATACTGTGTCCATAATAAGTTAATAGGTTATAGGTTGAGAACTTTTGTGAAAGAGCACAGTTTGAAAGATATGGCATATAGAAGCAAACCGGATGGACATCATGAAAATGATCGGAGAGGTTGAGAGTAGAAGAAGTAAAAACAAACAAAATATAATTATTGTAAAATTGACTGTAATAAAATGTATATAGTATGTATAAGCTGGAAGTAGATGCCTAAGCATTGTTGTTCACTAGTTGGGTGGTGGGGTTGGAAAGTAATAAAGGAACAAATATATTTTTTTAAGGATATGTATATATATGTATGTATATGTATGTATTTCTATGTATGTATGTGTATATGTACAGTGAGGGAAAAAAAGTATTTGATCCCCTGCTGATTTTGTACGTTTGCCCACTGACAAAGAAATTATCAGTCTATAATTTTAATGGTAGGTTAATTTGAACAGTGAGAGACAGAATAACAACAAAAAGATCCAGAAAAACGCATGTCAAAAATGTTATAAATGGATTTGCATTTTAATGAGGGAAATAAGTATTTGACCCCCTCTCAATCAGAAAGATTTCTGGCTCCCAGGTGTCTTTTATACAGGTAACGAGCTGAGATTAGGAGCACACTCTTAAAGGGAGTGCTCCTAATCTCAGCTTGTTACCTGTATAAAAGACACCTGTCCACAGAAGCAATCAATCAATCAGATTCCAAACTCTCCACCATGGCCAAGACCAAAGAGCTCTCCAAGGATGTCAGGGACAAGATTGTAGACCTACACAAGGCTGGAATGGGCTACAAGACCATCGCCAAGCAGCTTGGTGAGAAGGTGATAACAGTTGGTGCGATTATTCGCAAATGGAAGAAACACAAAAGAACTGTCAATCTCCCTCGGCCTGGTGCTCCATGCAAGATCTCACCTCGTGGAGTTGCAATGATCATGAAAACGGTGAGGAATCAGCCCAGAACTACACGGGAGGATCATGTCAATGATCTCAAAGCAGCTGGGACCATAGTCACCAAGAAAACAATTGGTAACACACTACGCCGTGAAGGACTGAAATCCTGCAGCGCCCGCAAGGTCCCCCTGCTCAAGAAAGCATATATACATGCCCGTCTGAAGTTTGCCAATGAACATCTGAATGATTCAGAGGAGAATTGGGTGAAAGTGTTGTGGTCAGATGAGACCAAAATCGAGCTCTTTGGCATCAACTCAACCTGTCGTGTTTGGAGGAGGAGGAATGCTGCCTATGACCCCAAGAACACCATCCCCACCGTCAAACATGGAGGTGGAAACATTATGCTTTGGGGGTTTTTTCTGCTAAGGGGACAGGACAACTTCACTGCATCAAAGGGACGATGGACGGGGCCATGTACCGTCAAATCTTGGGTGAGAACCTCCTTCCCTCAGCCAGGGCATTGAAAATGGGTTGTGGATGGGTATTCCAGCATGACAATGACCCAAAACACACGGCCAATGCAACAAAGGAGTGGCTCAAGAAGCAGAACATTAAGGTCCTGGAGTGGCCTAGCCAGTCTCCAGACCTTAATCCCATAGAAAATCTGTGGAGGGAGCTAAAGGTTTGAGTTGCCAAACGTCAGCCTCGAAACCTTAATGACTTGGAGAAGATCTGCAAAGAGGAGTGGGACAAAATCCCTCCTGAGATGTGTGCAAACCTGGTGGCCAACTACAAGAAACGTCTGGCCTCTGTGATTGCCAACAAGGCTTTTGCCACCAAGTACTAAGTCATGTTTTGCAGAGGGGTCAAATACTTATTTCCCTCATTAAAATGCAAATCAATTTATAACATTTTTGACATGCGTTTTTCTGGATTTCTTTGTTGTTATTCTGTCTCTGACTGTTCAAATAAACCTACCATTCAAATTATAGACTGATCATTTCTTTGTCAGTGGGCAAATATACAAAATCAGCAGGGGATCAAATACTTTTTTCCCTCACTGTATGTATATGCAAGAGAAAAAAACATATGGGGGATTGGAAGTGATGCAGACAATTACATTGATGGAAGTTACAATCTATCTGCAATATTTAAAGCTGATCTACCCCGTAAAAAATAAATAAATACAAAAATACTAGGAAAAAATACAAAAAAACAATGTCCACTGAGAACACACAATGACTATACCAATTAGCTAAGCTAAGAATGACGTGAATAATCAAGTCAATAAACGTTGGGGTAGTTAATTAGATAGCATATAAATTAGTTAATATACTGGCAAGTTCGATGTATTAGTAGCCAACTAACTTAAGGATGGTAGCTAGCTAACATATCTGTACATACAAGCAACTTCTGTAATGATATGCTATGTGGTTCGTAAGGCTAGCGAAGCTAACAAATTGTCAGACATCATAACATGTAATGTAACTTATTTGAAAAGGCATTACTTTATTACATTGCTCAACGTTTTCTTAATATTTGTCATAATTTGTTAAAGCAATGAATTTGTATCTGCTCTCGTCGGACTTCGGCTGCATATTTTCCACCATTTTCTTCAAATCTGAAAATGTTGTGAAGCCATGCCCATTTTCTGAAGAATTTCATTATGGGCCCTAAAAGCACGGAAATAGTGTCCACTGCTTGTATACTTCATATTTTGGCGAATGTAGTATGACATCCTGGAACTTTTGGCATGCTAACTATATCCATACTATGACCAATAAGCATACTACATACTCATTTTACGTCACAAATAGTACTGTTAGTGCGGTTAGTATGAGTATTCGAACACAGCTATGGATTGTGTATGTGTGCCATTCAGAGGGTGAATGGGCAAGACAAAATATTTAAGTGCCTTTGAATGGCGTATGGTAGTCGGTGCCAGGCGCACCAGTTTGTGTCAAGAACTGCAATGCTGCTGGGTTTTTCACGCTCAACAGTTTCCCGAGTGTATCAAGAATGGTCCACCACCCAAAGGACATCCAGCCAACTTGACACAACTGTGAGAAGACATTAGAGTCAACATGGGCCAGCATCCCTGTAGAACACTTTTGACACCTTGTAGAGTCCATGCCCCGACTAATTGAAGTTCAACTAAATATTAGGAAGGTGTTCCAAATGTTTGATATACTTAGTGTACGCAGTTATACCAAGAAGAAAAAAAATCAACCAAGGTAGCTACTTTCTATGTTTTTAGAAGAAAAACAAATGATTTATTACAAGACAGATTGTCCAGTAATCATGTGGAGTAGTTTCTCACATGACCTTTGACCTCTCCCTCAGCCTCCACGCCCTCTGATGACCTGGGCACAGCCGACCCCCTGGGCCTGGCCAAGATGGGAACTGGCACCGTGGAGAAAGATCGCCGCAGCAAGAAGAAACACGACCTGCTAGAAGAAGCATGTCGCCAGGGTCTACCCTTTGCTTCATGGGATGGCCCCACCGTGGTCACCTGGCTTGAGGTATGATGTCTCATTGGTGAACTATCTGGGAGAAAATCATGTGCACTGTTTTTCCTTGAAGGTGCCTCATCTTACTATGAATTAATCTGAATAATGTACATGATGAACATATTAAATTCAGCCTTATTGGCAGGGAATATGTGTGTAAATATTCCCAAAGCAGAAACATCTTCTCCCTCCTCTTCCTTTTCCTCTTCCTCTTAGTTGTGGGTGGGTATGCCCGCCTGGTATGTTGCGGCGTGTCGTGCCAATGTGAAGAGCGGTGCCATCATGGCCAACCTGTCGGACACAGAGATCCAGCGGGAGATTGGCATCAGTAACCCCCTGCACCGCCTCAAACTGCGCCTGGCCATCCAGGAGATGGTGTCCCTCACCAGCCCCTCGGCACCGGCCAGCACACGCTCCGTAAGTGTTACAGCATATACACGCACAAACACGCACACAAACATTAGCGTATGCTCAGTAACATACTTGCTACAAATCCAGAAGTTTGAATAAGTCTGAGGGAAAATGTATGCAAACTGTAATCATATCCTTATTCTTTTCCCATCTGAATCTCAAATTGTCCTCGATGACATCACAGTCGACCAGTGATATATGGATGACTCATGCTGAAATGGAGTCACTGACCGCTGCCATAAAACCAGTAAGCTGTTTTGCCTATCTCTCTCTTTTTGTATTTGCTTTAAGTTCTCCTACACACAATCTCATTTCAAAAGTGATTTAATCTATGTTAGACAAATTACGACATCCCAAGACTTTCGTCCAACTAAATTATCTAACAATATTCTATTAATTCCAAACTGTATAAGAATTGATAGTACACATCCAACTTGCTTGAAATCAACAAGCAACTTGAGACTATGCTGAATGAAATTCCATTTATGATTTGTTTTCTTTGTCTTTGTCTCTGATTAGGCATGTGTCGCTGCACCTTTTCCCCACTACTCCCCCAAATTCTCTTTGAGTGTAGTGTTTCTCAAACTAATTTTCATTCACTAACAAACTATTCCTCCTTCTGCCCCTCCTTCCTTCCATCTTCTCCTCTCCATAACGCCTCCTGTCATTTACCGTAAAAACACATCCTGGCAATCGTTCCTTCTCCCTCTCCCTCCATCTCTATCCCTTTTTCTCTCTATCCCTTTGTTTTGCCTCCACTGAAGGAAGTGAAGGAGTTCAGCTGGGACCAGGTGAGATGTTGTTGTAGTTTTTGTCATGAATATTATTGTCATGATCAGGAAATTAAATCAATGATATCACATTGCAAACAGACCATAAATCCCATGCAGCAATACTTGATCAAAACTGTTACAGACTTTTAGTCCGCTTCAAAATAAAGTTTCCACTATACTCAGGACCAGGCTTGAGGTTAACTCTATCTCACAGGAGATTTTGGAAGGAGATTTTGAAAATGGAAATAAACTGTCTCTCAAAGGACATCAATTCTCTCTCTCTCTCACTCTCTCTCTCTTTTTTTTACCCTCTTTTTCTCTATCTCTTCCCTCCATCCTTCTCTCCCTCTTCCCCTATCTAGATCCTTGCCTATGGGGACATGAACCATGAGTGGGTAGGGAACGAGTGGCTTCCCAGCCTGGGTCTGCCCCAGTACCGCTCCTACTTCATGGAGTCCCTGGTGGACGCTCGCATGCTGGACCACCTCACCAAGAAGGAGCTTAGGGGACAGCTTAAAATGGTGGACAGCTTCCACAGGTTGGATTCAAATCATTTCAATCAATGTTTACTGTCATCCAAAGGCAATCTGTGAATGGAAGCAGATTCATGCCAAAAATGTTGGTATGGATTTGGCACAAATCTGCTTCCTTAATTTGTGTGCCGCATGAAAACATCAAAGGAAATAAACAGCAAAGATGCGTAGGGGATGGGAATATTAAGTGAAAGGGCATCTTGTCTAGTGTCCTCTGCTTAGTTACATATTTCTACCGATGGTTTTTCCATGTATTTCTTATCAACATTTCTTTCATTCCTCTTCTATATTCAAGAGTTCTTCTTTTCTCTTCTCTTCTCCACTTTAGTTTGTCTGCATCAGGATTTTACTGCGGTTGTGTGTTTGGTTGTAAGGACATCGACAGTAACACTATCTCTTCTCTTTCGCTTTCTGCGGGCGAGAGCTCTAGGTCGAGGGAGAGCGAGGAGGAGGCGAGAGAGAGCGAGAGGGAGGAGAGCGCGGAGAGAGCGAGAGACGAGGAGCTACGAGAGAGAGAGAGACAGAGAGAGCGAGAGACTCAGAGCGCGAGAGAGCGGAGCGCGCAGAGAGAGAAAGGAGCGAAGAAAGGGAGAGAGAGCAGAGAGGAGAGAGAGAGAGAGAGAGAGAGAGAGAGAGAGAGGAAGAGAGAGAGAGAGATCTTCTCTCTCAGGAGTCGATCTCGCCTCTCTCTCTCTCTCTCTCACTCTCTTCTCTCTCGCTCTCTCTCTCTCTCTCTCTCTCTCTCTCTCTCTCTACTCTCTCTCTCTCTCTCGCTTCTCTTTCCTCTTCCTCTCTTTTCTCTCTCTCAGGGTAAGTCTGCATTATGGCATCATGTGCTTGAAGCGTTTGAACTACGACAGGAAGGAGCTTGAAAGGAGGAGGGATGAGAGCCAACATCAGAACCAAGGTGAGAATACTGTACACAGGTAACTTGAGACGTAACATATTTCGGGGCTCGTTTGGACTTTGATATTGCAAATGATTGTTGTATGGCAAACAATTCTATTCCTTCTGTCTCTCAAATGCTCCTTTTCACTGTATTTGTAACCCCACTTGATTGTTGTTGTAATACCTGAGTCTTTCTGCCCCTCCGTAGATGTGATGGTATGGTCCAATGAGCGAGTGATGTGTTGGGTCCAGGCCATTGGGCTAAAGGAGTTTGCAGATAACCTCACAGAGAGTGGGGTCCATGGGGCCCTCCTAGCACTGGATGACACGTTTGACTACACTGACCTTGCCCTGCTCCTCCAGATACCCAATCAGAACACACAGGTACCTTACCTTCCTGCTATAGAAGTCCAGTCAGAACATGCGGGTACTCACCACTATGCTATCCAGTCAGAGCACAGGCACTCAATTCTACTATCGTAGTCTAATCACAACAACCCTCATTCACCACAATCACCAACCTACTTAATTTGCCTTACCTACAGTTGTTTGGTCATTCAATTTTAATCAAGATAATCTTAATCATGAAATCCCCTTCATAATCTTAATTATAATCTTAAAACATTCATTATTTCTCTCCCAGGCGAGGCAGATGCTGGAGAAGGAGTACAATGCCCTCATCTCCATGGGAACTGAGAGAAGGCCAGATGAGGTAAAACAAATTTAAAAAATATAGTTGCTACGTAAGACTATTGCTCATGAAGATAGGCAATATTTTCAAGATAGGCAGTTTGTTTCAACCAACATTAACTGTTTGGGGGGTGCTTATATTTGTCCTGTTACACACAAGTGTGTAATGGAAATGTGTTTTTTTGCATTTCCCAACTCCGCCTGAGACACCTGCAGGGAGTGGCTTCAAGGCCAGGGTCGCCATTGTACAGCGAGCGACCCTGGAGTAATTAGGGTTAAGTGCCTTGGTCAAGGGCACAGCAAAAAAATGTTTTTCCTTGTCGGCTCCAGTATTCGAACAAGCAACCTCAAGGCTACCTACCCATGTGCATGTATTTTTTCCACATGCTGTTTCTTTAGTATACCTAACAAGCACTTGGGAAATCGAATGAATTTCATCGTACGATATTGTTTGTGTGTCAATCCTCTGCGTCTCGTTGACAGGACGGCACTAAGACGTTCACACGCTCGCCCTCGTGGAGGAAGATGTTCAGAGAGAAGGACCTCCGGGGCGTGACCTCTGACTCCTCAGAAACATTACCCGCCAACTTCCGTGCCTCCGCCATCTCCACGCCCTCCGTCACCCTGAGGAAAGTCCAGAGTGAAGGTGAGGTGGTCCTCTTCTTCATGTCCTTCCCACTGGAAACCTGCTCTATGAGTCATTGGTTCCATGCTGATCACTAATTTCAGTGTTATTGACTGGAAGTCTAGTGTCATTGACAGGTGTTTGAAAATCGTAATGCTGTCTGTTTCAGTGAACTCTGGGCCCAGGGGTGAGTCGGGGTCAGTGAGAACATATTCCTGCTAGAGATAAGCACACCAGGTGAGACTTAATTGCCAAAGAATATCATGAACGTGTTCAAGGTTGCAAAGTAGTCAGAGCTCATTCCTTAGCGTTTAGGCTCAACAAAGCATCAACTTGGTGTATTGTCACCTTCTGTAAGATTGTCTGAATTTCAGTCATCCAAATACATTTCACTCATTTCAGTAATCTCATGCATCCAAACATACTGTATTCCAGTAATTCATATCAGTTATCGAAACACATTTCGATCATTTCAGTGTTCTCAGTCATCCAAAAACAATTCAGTCATTTCAGTAACCTTTCATCCAAACATATTTCAGTCCTTTCAGTAATCTCAGTCATCCAAACACATTTCAGACAAGAACCGACCCATACTGAAATTGAGTTTTGCTTTATTGTTGCTTCATTATTTATCAACCCTCTCTGTGTTTTAGAGTCCCCCCCCCAAAAAAAAAAAATGTTTTTGAAGAAAGAAAAGATGAAGATCATCAACAAAATGGAGAATAGAACACAAACAACAAGAATTCCATTGGAATCCTTGAAGAAACAAGGACAATGTGAGAGAATGAAAAGATACTAAAATAGAGTGAATGTCTGTCTGTCCGTCTCTCTCGCTCTCTCTCGCTCTCTCTCTCTCTCGCTCTCTCGTCTTAGTCCACAGTTGTGGCATGAAGCTGTTTGATGCTGTAAAAAATGACTCCATCGACCATTGTGAAGTTCTTCCGTTGTGAGTGTGAAATGGGAAAATTGACACAATGATACTTATTTTTTTCATTGGGATATAAAACTGCATTCCCATTTGGATCAACAGAATGATGACCCTGATAGACATTTCTTTGATTTGAACTGTCGATAGAACATACATAACCTATCTGTTAGAATCTCAGTAACTGGTATTAGGATTGTGTTTCTCAACCTTTTTGTACCATGGACAGGCAAGCTAAGGTATTTCCTTTACTAAGGACCCACAAGCTATGGCCTTCTCTCTTGGGGGAGCACTTACATTAAAACTAGCATTCGAGAACTCACTAGATCAGGTACAGCTAAACATCTGAGGGACCGGTCAGCATCACCCAAGGGACTGCTGTCGGTCCACGGACCAGAGGTTGAGAAACACTGTATGAGGACAGAGTTAAAAGGGTTATAAAGAGTTATGAAGGGAGAGTATGTGAGTGAATGAGGGAATGGATTTGTATGTCCTTAAGCCATAACAGACACCATGAGATGAGAAGGACCATGGACAATTAGTGAAGTGCTTTATGACAAAATCCTGTTCAACAAAAAAAAGATTGGGGAATGTTTGTGTTAATATGCATGCCAAAACAAAACCATAGAGTGAGAGTAATGATATGAATCATCTAATGACGTGAAAACTTGGGTAAGGAATTTATAAAATGGGTGTATTTTATTTTTTATCATTTTTTATGATAACTATTGTATGTAGGTAGGTAGGTAAGTAGGTGTGTGTGTGTGTGTGTGTGTGTGTGTGTGTGTGTGTGTGTGTGTGTGTGTGTGTGTACAGTATGTATGTATTGAACTGTACTTTAATTTCATACTTAGTTAAGACTGACTGTAATTTCATTTTAGGTTGAAAAGTAAATACATTTCCAATTATGGACATTAAGATATACTACTTGTATGTGTACATTTTGAAAACAAATTGTGTTATGATTTAAACTAATATAAATAATGAAGAGTAGTGAGGATAATTAAATATAATATGATAACAATAATGATAATGATTGTAAAAGCTGTAATTAAAAAATACCTGTAAAATGGATGGGAACTGAGTGTTTGTTTATTTTGTTCAGCGTTATATTTTCTATTCCAAATAAGGTTACGGGAGGTCAACAGGAAATGACAGGTTACTTGATGATTTCCTGATTTTCATCCTTCTTCCCTCTTGTAGTTATGTGGATGTTTACACTGTATGTGATGATATTTACACATTTTCTCCCAAGTCCTCAAATTCACTTCCAAATTTCTAACATTGACTTGTTTTCTCTCAATTAAAGGTGCTCTATGTAACAATTCCACCTGAGAATAGCCCTACATGTCAATGAAATACAGTATCCGTTGTCTGAAGCTATAGAGTAACTTGTTTACTGGCGAGTGGCCACCTTCAGTGCATCCAAACAGCAGCTTCTTCCTGTTTCTGAGGTTGAAGACAATAACACTACTTGTGTCCGTGTGTTACATGGACTTTCTCTGGAAACTAAAGGCTGGGAAATTCCCCCTTATTCCACCTCATGCTCTGTACATGCCGACCCATTAGGAAAACAAAATGATCTGTAAATTGTTACATAGAGCACCTTTAAATAAATATTTTATAGAGCAAAGTGTTTTGGCAGAGAATCTAAACAAAATGGCCAGTTCTGTAACCCCATTAAACTTGTCTAGGGCATTAGCGTGGAAAACATCCTGACATAGGTCATCTTTCTCTGGGTGAATCTACAGTGAATATAGCACTTTGTTAGCGGGGCTCCATACTTCATTTGTCGTCACGAAGACACGTTGATAGAGATTTCTTCATTGCTCGCCGTCAATTAGTCTAGACTACAGTAATGTGTAATGCTTGTAAAAAATGCTTCTTCAATGAAGTAATGTCACTTTGAGTGAGTTCAGAACAGTTCCAGTAAAATGTGCCTGTATTGGAAAAGATCAAAGGGCACCCACTCATATCAGAGAACATCACATTCAGTCAAGGTTCAAGCCTTGTTATTAAGAGAATGGTGGAAGAAGATGACTGTGTGTGCAAGTTCATTCAACAGAATTCAGAGCAATGGTCTGTGTTTCATTGTTCAGGAGCGTGCTAATGATTGTATGACTGTTGCAGGCTGACTGTACTGGATCCCGTTAAAGTGTCTTACTGCAGCTGGAGTTCAGTAAACACATACTCAACGATGGTTGTAAATCTCACGGCATACCCGTCTTATACACACTAAAAATAATACAAACATTGTCATCAATACCTGTCATTTCCCCGTCTTCAACTAACACAGCCTTCATGTCATTGAGCAATCATTATGGAAGACAAACAAAACAAGATATCTTTATTTGATGTCTTTGAAATTGTAAAATATTGAATCCAACCTAAACATTTTTTAAAAAGTGTTTAACTGTTTTTTTAACACTTGAAGTGTTGTAACAATTGAACACTTGTTTTTTTAACACTTGAAAAGAGCATTACACAGATAGGAAAGTTGTAAACCATAAGCTATTGGTACCAATTTTGCTGTTTGACACCTCCCACAGTTTCTTAGTAAATACCAGGCTGCTTACCATGAGCAAAAATGCTGAAAAAATTGTCACTGAAGTAAAAAGTAATTGTATTCATCTTAGAAGGGGCCATCAAGGAGGAAGCCCTTATATAGCCACTGTGCATTTCCTAACATGGAATTTTCACATTCTCCAGGTCCTTACAACTTTTTGTTATTATAAACTCCCTAGAATCGACCTGACTCATCCTTATACCGTCAATTCCTGCGACCTCCCCCTGACGTTCTCCATTACCTCCTTTATAAGGATGCACATCCTGCTACATTTTAGAATGTTGGGTGAAGACAGCTTTCTAGTTATCTGTCTATTTATTTTTTAATTTATTTTATTTATTCTGTTGACATAATTCATTTTTTCTTTAAGCTACATTGCAGAACCATATTTTTTTTTTTTTTAATTTGCTTGAGCTCTCTTCTCAATTTCATCTCCCAAATGTCCTTGTGTGCACACATCTCCTTGCTCTCCTGCTCTCTTCTGGTCCTCCTACCTCTCTCTATATCATTCTATATTCCTGACTCCAACCCACTCCTGCTCTTCAATGATCAAGTCAGAGAAAGACATCTCTACACAGGTATTAAGCTCACTTCTCTTCTGTCTTATGTTCATTCACTTTTTTTTTACTTATTTCAGGTGTGTACTTATCGATCCTTCGGTTTATCCTCGCAGTATGTAGGCCATCTTTTTTTCCTAGTAGTAATAGTTATTGCCTCTTAAATACTGTTGTTGTTGTTGCTGTTGTTGCTGTTGTTGTTGTTGTTTACATGTAATGTATCCCCCCCCCAGATAATCAAAGAAAAGAACTGTTTCTGGAGATGACCGCTGATGGAAAAGTGACAGGGAGCCCTGCTCAGACCCTTCACAGTAAGTCAGTGGCGGTCGGTGCCTTTTAAGATTAGGGAGGATGTTTTTTTTTTATGAGCATGGCCTTTTTTCTATTACAGCATATTGGATGACTGTCATTCATATTCCATTCACCCAGCTCAATGTAACATCGATAGGTTTAGGCTACTACCCATCATGAGGTTGCTACAACCTAGCCTACGAATGAAAGTTTACAACGTAGGTGCACAGGTCGAGCGAAAAATTGGATTAATCAAGATGACAGACAATGAAACATTCAATACCGCCTTGCACACTCTTGCCTCCATCTAGCTGATCTAGGGTGTAATTATTACTCCAAACAGTTGCAAACAAGAGTTTCTATTGGAGAAATTCTGGTATGTTTATCCCTGTTTCGTTTCGTTTTCTTCCGTTTAAGAAACGGTGGAATTAATACACCTCCGCTAACCCGCACACACAAACAGCATGACCACTTTGCTTGTTGTATAATTCCTTTTCGCATCTACGCGCTCTCCTCCTTTCACCTTTTCCCTTCACTTGTGGACTTCAGTGCACAACACAACAGCTGTCTGTGACCAGGCAAAAAAACTATCTCTCTCTCTTGCTTCTCCTTTGTTTTTGAAGAAATGAAAACTGTTCAACTATTGTCTTTCTCTCGCTTTGAGTCAACTACTCACCACATTTTATGCACTGCACTGCAATGCTAGCTAGCTATAGCTTATGCTTTCAGTACTAGATTCATTCTCTGATGCTTTGATTGGGTGGACAATATGTCAGTTCATGCTGCAAGAGCTCTGATAGGTTGGAGGACGTCCTCCGGAAGTCGTCATATTTACTGTGTAAGTCCATGGAATGGTGTAAGAACCATGAGCTTCCTAGGTTTTGAATTGAAGTCAATGTACCCAGAGGAGGACGGAAACTAGCTGTGCTCCGGCTAGACCATGGTGCTACCCCAGAGAGTGCTGATGAGGCTACTGTAGACCTTCATTGCAAAACAGTGTGTTTGAATGCATTATTCGGTGACATGAATATATTTAGTATAGTTTTATCTAAAACAGATCACTTTTTTAATGCTTCACTGTGTTTTTTTTTCTGAAATTCATGTGTTTGACAGACAGATAGACGTTACAGAATTGAGTATTATGAAGTTTACACTATTATATATCATCTCCCAAACACTTGAATAATAGATGACACTTGTATTGAATGTGTTTACTGTATGTTCTCAGGTGTGTTGGAGTTGAGGTCAGTTCGAGCAGGTGAGACAGTTATCAAGGGTCTGTCCTCATCCCTTTTCCTCTGTGTGGACAGCACTGGCCAGTTGAGGGGACAGGTGAGCAGCGGACAAATATCATCTACTCTAGCATGAAATATGGCACAGTTAAATGCCTTGCTTCACTGCATCTAACAAAAAAAACGTAAAGTTAAAAGTCTGATTTGTGATTTCGATGTTATTCATTTCCTCAGAGCCACTACACAGAGGCTGACTGCACCTTCAGAGAGCAGCTGCTAGCTGATGGATACACTCGTTTCCTCTCTTTACATCACAATCTTCTTGTGTCCCTCACCTCAAAACTCTCCACACCGCAACATGGGCTCCCGTTCTCTCGGTTCCTTCCCCTGAGAAATATTTTGGTATCTGGAAGTATGACAACGAATACAGATGAAAATCGACAACAGAATCAGCAACAGCTTGACCTGGACTCAGATGACCCTTTCGGCAGGGGTCTCACTGGTGTGGTCAGTCCACAGTTCTCCTGGGATAAGTGAAGCTGAAAATGGAGTTTGTCGAAGGAAGTATACAATGAACTGTTATCCGTATATTTATTTAAAGGTTTACTGGATTGTATAACCATGTTAATTCCTAAAGTGATTTTAGTTCCGTAACTCTATGGTGGGACTGACTGCTGTGTATATTGTCTCACTTTGAATGTCATGTTGAATATGTCATATGCAGTATATTTCTCTCTTGTATCATATCCATTCAAGTTTGACTCATTGTACTGTAGCTATAATTTATTGTGTTATTTATATTTTTAAACCTTTTGAAGCCTAAATGCAACCTAGTCTCAGAGCATTTCGTATTATTCTGTAAGTAAACCAAGACACACTATTTATATATTTTTATATGTTATGTTTCATATGAATGTATTAATTTGTGGAGGTCTAGCATCCATTTCGTATGATACGTTACAAATTACAATTCGTATGATATGTTACAAATTCAAATTTTTTGTTGCCAATGTTAGCTAGGTGGCTAAGTGGCTAAGTGGCTAACGCTAACGTTAGCTAGCTGGCTAACGCTAGCTAGGCTAGGGGTTAGGGTTAAGGTTAGGGTTAAGGTTAGGAGTTAGGTTAATGGGTAGGGTTAAGGTTAGGAGTTAGGTTAAGGGTTAAGGTTGGGGTTAGGGGAAGGGTTAGCTAACATGCTAAGTAGTTGCAAAGCAGCTAAAAAGTAGTAAGTAGTTGTAAAGTTGCTAATTAGCTAAAAGGTTGTACGTGATGAGATTCGAACACGTAACCTTTGGGTTGCTAGACATTCGCGTTATATGACAATCCACCCTCCCTTCTTACATGGTTGCTTTAAGTAACCTTCTGTCTTATGTAACCATACCAAATGTAACAAATCATACTAATTTGAGTGTCCCATATTTGCTTTACTATGTTACAACTAGTCTATGAGACCAGGTTGCTAAATGATGTATAAACAATAGTTATATATGGCTTTTGACACCATGTCTAAGAGCTTATTGATATTATAGTCCAAGAGCTTATTGCTAAATAAATAAACAAATAAATGTATGTATGACTAGGCTGTCTGCGGTTATCCAGTGAAAATACCAGATTGATCTATGTTGAGAAGCACAGGGAACAAATGGAATAATAAGGACTAATGAATCATGTTATTAACTAAATACTAAAACACTGAATAATAATACAATGAAAATACCAAAAGCAGCATGGATGCTCTAGTAAAGATACTAAAATGGCAGAATAGGCAAGACAAACCAGGACAGTTCTTCTGGAGAAATGCTTAAACACAGCACACCATAAATAGCTAATAAGTGCTGAGTGTTTGGAGGGTTGTAGCCAACATGCTGAACCATTTGATTTGATTTATTAGGATCCCCATTAGCAGACGCCAATGGCGACAGCTAGTCTTAGTGGGGTCCGACATATAACGAAAAATACATTACAGACAAAATACTTTACAATTTACATACATAAACTAGCGCTAACTGGGCTAGTCATTGCCCGCAACACACTCATCCAACATATTACTACTTTACTCAAAAATTATCTACATATTTCTTTCTAAACAAGTGGATTATTTAACTTAAGGCTTTCCATCTTGTATATTTAAAAAACAATTATAGCTCTAACTTCATTGGAATATATCTATAACTTTTTCAAAATTCAAAAAAATAGATAAACTTACCACAAAATAATTTGGTTGAAATATCTCCAAATGTTGTGATGACACAGATTACATTTTTTTGTTGAGCAAGAGCAGTGGCAGCCAGGGAAAGTGTTGGGGAAATAATTTGGTGGTATCTTGTGGTGTTAATGTGAATTACGGGGGGGGGGGGGGGGCTAGTTACCCCCTAGTACCCTACGTGTCAGTACATACTCATAACAAGTAGGTCACATGGGCGAGAGGCATTGTATGGTGAGGTGTTGCTTTATTTGTTTTTTGAAACCAGGTTTGCTGTTACTTGTGCTATATAAGATGGAAGGGAGTTATATGCACTCATGGCTCTGTATAAGACTGTACGTTTCCTTGAATTTGTTCTCGACCTGGGGACTGTGAAAAGACTGGTGGGGTAAGTGTGTGTGTCAGTGCTGTGTTTAAGTTGACTACAAAACAATTTGGAATTTCCAACTCATTAATGTTTCTTATAAAAACATGAAGTGACACAGTTAGTCTTTCCTCAACCAACTCTTAGCCAAGAGAGACTGGCATTCATAGTATTAATATTAGCCCTCTGATTACAATGAAGAGCAAGACGTGCCGCTCTGTTCTGGGCCAGCTGCAGATTAACTAGGTCTTTCTTTGCAGCACTTGATCATATGACTGGACAATAATCAAGATAAGATAAAACTAGAGCCTGCAGGACATGCTTTATGGAGTGTGGTGTCAAAAAAGCAGAGCATCTCTTTGTTACGGACATTAGAGGGCCCTCCCTCATGGTGGGTGTGTGATTGATGTTGGTTTGGACTGCCCTCTAGTGGACATAAGAGTACAGCATTCACCAAGACAGTATGGCGCTTCTATAAAAGGCCCTGAGATACTCAGAGAGAGATGCTGTTCAGCACTTCAACTCAACTCAGAGGGTAGATTGTGGGGGCTCGTCCTGGATCTGAGTTTTTTACAGAAAGGTCTCAGAAATCAAAAATTGAAACGCAAAACTATAGAAAAATAAGTTGCATGTGTAATTACCATCTACCATCTGTTCATCAGTCTCTCTTCCCAAAGCTTCAACCGAAGGGCTATCCACAGAATAAAATGAATTATCCATGATATAAACATTTAATGAATGTCTCTAGCTCTAGGTAGAATTTCACCTGTTCTCTGAAGAAGTAAATGTGGCGAGAATTCCATTAAATGTAGCATTTCTGATCATCAACAACAATGGACGGCACACGGCATCTTAAGAAAATTTACAAAATATAATCTTTATTAAAAACAACACATACACAAATATAGGCCTTTCACACCAAGTTACCCTGAGATAAACTACCTCCACTCTCCTTCCCATGCCTATAAATTGGTAACAATGCGTTCTGTGATCTGATCAGAGATCAGACGATACAGTAATGGTATCCAGAATGTTGCTACATTTATGTAGCTCCAGCCATCAGGAAATATTGGCTCTAAAGTATAAACTTGAGAAGAAGTCACACATCATCATAAGCATGTTGTATCTGTAGTCAGATTGAGAATGTTGAAGTGGCATGTAAAACCTTTTATCGATTACAATTAGCACATGCGTCATTGGATGGCGAAGCTGTGTCTGAGTAACATTGTGCTCTATATCTATCTCATAGTTGTTCCTTGTCTGTGTCGACCAACATTTGCTTATTCAGCCTGAGAAGTGCCCTTTCATAATACATTTGAATAAATTAAAACAAAATACATTTTATAAACTGTATAATCTAGATAAGATTAAAGATGAGAAAACACCATGGTTTCATATTGACAGTACTAAAATGACAATGAAGATTCAACTCTTTAAAAGAACACACAAGCTAATATTACAATGAATAATTTACAACTCATAGCTTAAATAATACATAGCAAGACTATGGAAAACAATGAGCATGTCACTCATTCTCCGTTATTTTTCTGGCAAGCAACCTACAGTAGTGTAGTTGTATGTTCCTACACCAGTCAATCGTTTAATGTCTCCCCTGCTGAATGTAGTGTTAAACAGGTAATTTATGTTTTTCTGCTACACATATTGCTGCTTTCCCACTATGTGCCAGTGACTGTTTGCCATTGAGCTGTCTTAAACATTTGTAATCCCTATTTTTCAATCCCTTTTGTGACAGGATCACACCTGAGGGTCATCCTGTTGACACATCCTGTTGTCACACCTGAGTCACCAGGGGTTCACTGAGGTACATTTTTGCCCCACTCGACTCCCTGCTCTGCCCAGCGCACAGTCCCCCCAACAGAGTCCTATTCAGAGGGTTGCAGATGCCCTCTATGGCATAGTAATCTCCCTCTCCGTCCCCTTCCTCCTCCCCTTCCTCCCCCTCCTCGTGCTCCTCGTCCTCCCACAGCGAGGTCTTGACGTGTGTGTACTCGGTTTGGTCCTCGCACTCCGTCTCGCGGTGGTAGAAGTAGCTGAAGTTGGACACGATGACGGGCACGGGCAGCGAGATGGTAAGCACGCCGGCGATGGCACACATGGAGCCAACCAGCTTGCCCCACACCGTCTCTGGGTACATGTCACCGTAGCCCACGGTGGTCATGGTAACCACCGCCCACCAAAAGGCGTCAGGGATGCTGACGAACGCTGTGTCCTTGTGGTCGGCCTCGGCGAAGAAGATGGCGCTGGCGAAGATGATGACGCCAATGAAGAGGAAGAAGATGAGCAGGCCCAGCTCACGCATGCTGGCCCTCAGCGTCTGGCCCAGGATCTGCAGGCCCTTGGAGTGGCGGGACAGCTTGAAGATCCTGAACACCCTGACTAACCGGATTACACGGATGATGGCCAGTGACACACCCGGTGCGTTCTCTGTGTCCTTGGACAGCTCAGTGATCAGTGTCACGAAGAAGGGTAGGATGGCTGTGAAGTCGATGATGTTCATCACATCCTTGAAAAAGTGCATCTTGCTGGGCGAGCAGATGAAACGCATGAACAGCTCAAAAGAGAACCAGCAGATACACATGGTCTCCACCAGGAAGAAGGGGTCCTGGAAGACACTGGCGGGGGGAAGCATGTGCATGGAGATGTTCTTGTCGTGGGCGTGGTACTTGTAGAAGTACTCCTGGAGAAGGGAGAGAGAAGACAGGGAAGCAGGGAGGAAGAGGGGAAAATGAGAAAGAAAAAATACAATTTTAACTACTAATTTGTCAGAGGATAGGAATTAGACATTATAGGCCTACTGTGATTTGTAAAGTGTTTTTCTGTGATATATTATGTATTGCAACAATTTCGGTATATTTGGGTTTGGTATCTTGGAGCAAAAACTGAGCAGATAATGGGCACTGGGACTTGACATAAACTTTAATTTCAACTTACAGAATTCACTTCCTAAAAGCAGAATTATACTTCCCCCCTCTGCTTATTATTGGTTTATGCCTTAATAATCATCTACAAGTACTTATTGCCAACTAAAAATACTGTTGTGTTGGTCCAGCCTGATCACACAATGTTCTTGTCAGTTAGTTATAAACAATTCATATTTTTTATGATGATGAAGTAACAAAATGTACTACAAGTGAATACAAAATGTTGCGGCAAATCTTGTGGTTCATTTGTTCCCTTGTTCCCTTACAACAACAAGAAACATGTCAAATTTGCAGTTGCACATTTTCACACTTTGAGCTTAAATTTCACACGTGAAACCATATTTTCACATGTATTAAATTTAGAGTTCACATGTTAACACCACCTTTTCACATGTGAGGAGAATAACATGTTCTAACCTCACATGTGAATTGCAGTTTCACATGTGAAATTTGCGGTTTCACATGTTAAAAACGTTCACATGTGAAAATTGGATATGCAGTTTCACATGTGAAAAAAACATTATCCCAGTTTGATGCAGTCAAGCCAGGTATGACTAAATATATATATATATATAAATTTTTGTACATGTGAAATGTTTCACATGTGATTTGTTCACACGTGTCTGAAAACCACGTGTTTTTCACATGTGATTTTTCACGTTTTTTTTTTTAAGTGTTGGCACGATCACAAAGTGTTAACGTTGACGTTATTTCTGGCTTTGAGTTTCAATCTGTTCGTGTCAGAGTGTCAGACTGTACACCGATTATTTATTTCAGCCTCTCATATTTAATGTCTAGTGATCAAAATGTCTCGAGGGGAAAAAGTCATCACAACAACCTGGAGTGTAATGTGTGAACTTTTACTGTGTGCCTGGAGATACAATAAAAGTCAAACGTATAATCTAGTAGGACCTATTCATGATTTCTCTCCGGTAGCTGGTCACAGTCGTCGTGTTTATTAATAAAGGCATATTTATGTGTTGATGTACTCTTAGGACTGGCACTATATATAGCCCCCCGAGATCGCAAAGGAGAAACATGAGTGTTCACGCTACTCCCCATCCATCTCCACTGTCGCTATCCCGTCTTCCTCCCAGCATAGCCAACACTCTTCAGTCAGCCTGCCGCTCCTCACTGGGGTTTCTGCATTTTTCTTGGCTGTCGCCCCTCGTGCAAAAGGCAGCCGCCATCAGCCTAGCACAGCTCTCCTGAAGGAATGTGTTAACATGACACAACGTATGTCGCTTTATCTCCCAAGGTCTTCCCAGCTCATCTTCGTGACTGAAGTATATTGTAGAGGTCTTGGGCCACCTCTGACCTCTAGGCTCTCAGTATCAGTGAAATCACGTGACTGATGAGAATTTACTCTGGGTCTGCTCTCACTTTCTCTCCTTTTATTTGTATTTTAATCCCCACTCTTTTCTCCCTGTACCCTTTTGCGCTTCCCCCCAATCCAAGTGTATCAAATTTAACAGCTGACTAAAATAATCACGTCAGCCTTTCTCTATCTCTCCTTCAATTGTCTCCCTGTCATTTTTGTCCATTAGTTCTCTCCCTGTCAATATTTCTCCACATAATTCACTGTAGTCAGCTATGCACACCGTTAGTGTATTTACCTAAACACCTGCTGGTTAGTGGTATCGGGTTGCCATGTGACACATGTAACTACACACATCCCATTCAAGACACACCAGACAGACCATGTGAGGTAGGCTTTGCCTAATGAGTTGACTGTATGACACAAAAAGTGTCACAATACTCATTCAATCGATATCTGAAGTAAATATCCAAAATCCGATTTGAACAGTTGAAATTATTATTACGATTGAAAAATTACACATGGCTCTCATCTATCTTTCCCTCCATCCATCTTGTTCTCTTGACGCTTTTCAAAATTCTATTAAATATTCAAAAGCAGATAAGTGGGAGCTAGACCAAAATGTAGTATTTCATTTGATTGTTTCAATGACATCATTGTTTTAATGACATCATTATTTTATTGACATCAATGCTTGTTATCCATCTTTCACAAAATATAATATTTCCCCTCTCCCTTTCCAATACATGTCCAGCATGTCATAATGTTCTGTAACACTTTCCATCTACTGAATGTTCACTCCAAAAGCCTTTCCCCACTTAATCTCTCCTTCTATATCATCAGTGCTTGACTTGGGCAGGAGCTCACCAGAACTGAGTACCGGCACCTTACATTTCCTACTGCTTGAGCTCCTGTTCGTTCCTCTTATAGAATATTAGCTCAAACCTATTGTGGAGCTCCTGCACCTAACTATAAACAGTACCGGCACCCAAAATTAGTACCAGCATCTATTTCAGTCCAAGTCAAGCACTGAATTTGAAGAATAAAACAAGAATAAGCAAGTTGGCCACTAACATATTATATCTGACTTCTAGTTATACAGAGCTTTCAGATTAGTGCCGTTGAAGATGAGGAAACAAGTGGAGGATGCCAGTTTGGACTATTGAGAAACTCCCCCACACACACAAAACACCAACTTTTTCCATTGTCCTTGTCTCCTCTTTATCCCACTTCACTCCTCCCTTGCCCCCTTGCTGCCTTACCTCACGAAGCTCCTTCTCGCTCCTGAAGTCGGGCAGCGTCTCTAGGCAAAAGATGAGGATGGACACCACAATCACCATGACGCTGATGATGGCGATGATGCGCGCGCCCGACGACGACTCTGGATGCTCGAACAGCATCCACAGACTCCGCTGGACCTCGTTGACAGGCAGCGATGGGGCTTCCTCCTTGGGGAAACCCTCATCCTCCTTGAAGCGTGCCATGATCTCCTCGCCCAGCTCATAGAAATAAAGCTCGTCAATGAAGATGTCCAAGGGCACATTGGCGGGCCGCCGGAGCCGCCCGCCTGACTGGTAGAAGTAGAGGATGGCGTCAAAACAGGCCCGGTTGCGGTCCAAGAAGAGCTCGTTGCGCAACGGGTCGAAGTAGCGAAGCCGGCGTCTGGGGTCGCCCAGCATGGAGTCCGGGAACTGGGCCAATGTGCGGAGCTGGGTCTCGTAGCGCATCCCCGAGACGTTGATGGCGAGACGTTCGCTCGGCGCCCAGCCGCTCCTCCACAATGACCTGGACCGCCGGCTCACCCGCTTCCTCTCCTTCTCACCGCCCACTTGGTTCTCCTTCTCGCCCTTCTCCTCGCTGTTGAGTTGGTTCTTCAGCTGTTTGTCTTTCTCTCCTTCTTCTATGTCTCTTCTTCCTCCTTCTCCACCTCCTTCTGGGTCGTTTTCTTCCATCACTGCCTTTATTGGCCTAGTCCAGATTCCGGCCCCTTTCTCCTTTGTGTGTGTAGTAAGGACAGCTTGGACTTAAAGAGGATGTGGGTCTGAAACCAGAGTGGGAATTTAATCAGTGTGGGAATAGAGGCATTATCACTACACATATGATTTAGTCATTATTAGTTGCAGGGTAAATATGCAAGAGGAAGCAGTCATGTCAAACATCTTTGTTACTGTTGAGTTCTCTGTCAGACATGTACATGTACAAAGGCACGTACTTCAAAATCATATTCATACTCATAAACGATGTATAAATATGTCTACGTACAGTATGTCCAAATAATCCAAATATATTTGTACGGTATACTCTTCATTTATTTCACACATTTCATTGGTAAGGGTTATGTAACACCTTTCATCCATAAAATAATTGGTTGAGACAGAACAGTAATGACAATGCACTATAAACATGAGGTATAATGACTAACGAGCAATTGATAGCACACAGTTAGCCAGATGTAGAGAGTCACTCACTGAGTGAATAGCAGCCGCTAACAGAGACTAATTGCGGGATGGAAAGTCACATTGTTTTTCTCCCATGACTCTTTCAGTCTGTCACCATGTCCGTCTGTCCGTCCAACACGTGGTCTTCTACGGTTGTCCCCAACTCCGAGACACTCCTTGATGGACACTCCTCCAGTACTTGTCCACTCTTGTCTCTCACCTCCCTGACCTGTTCGCGAATTTTGTTTCCACCTGTTTGCCGTTCAATACTCACAATTCTGTCCTTCCCTCTTCTCTCTCATATGGTGTCCGTCTTGAATTTTTTTGGGAATGCTGTCCTGCTGAAATTCAATCTGCCCCTGGCCCCTCCCGTCCTTTCCCTCCCTTTTGCTCCGGGGCCGGGAACAACCTTCACCCTCCCTCTCAAATGTCACCGCCTCTGCACTGGTACTTGGTGTGTTACTGGACGCTCCCTAACTGAAATGGGGCCCGCTCTATGAGATGGACAACTGAGATGGCTGACTGTCATTTGTTGGATCGAATGCCCTTTGAATGCCATGATTGACTTCAGTGATGGACTGGATAATGTTATAATGTATACTGAATGTCAGGCCTCAAATCTAAATGATCACTGATGTGCTGCCTAGGTAGATGTGATGTTCATCAGGGTCTGAAGTTATGATGATATGAATATTCTAAATCTAACAGGTTAGAAAATGTATTGAAAATGAAATACAGAAATGTCTTATTTACATACGTATTCACACCCCTAAGTCAATACTTTGTAGAATCACCTTTGGCAGCGATTACATCTGTGAGTCTTTCTGGGTAAGTCTCTAAGAGCTTTCCACACCTGGATTGTGCAACATTTGCTCATTATTCTTTTCAGAATTCTTCAAGCTCTTGACTAGTTGTTGATCATTGCTAGCCAACCATTTTCGGGTCTTGCCATAGACTTTTAAGTAGATTTAAGTCAAACTGTAACCCGGCCACTCAGGAACATTCACTGTCTTCTTGGTAAGCAACTACAGTGTAGATTTGGCCTTGTGTTTTAGGTTCTTGTCCTGCTGAAAGGTGAATTCATCTCCCAGTGTCTGGTGGAAAGCCGACTGAAACAAGTTTTCCTCTAGGATTTTGTCTGTGCTTAGCTCCATTGCGTTAATTTTTTATCCTAAAACAACTCCCCAGTCCTTAAGGATTATAAGCATATCCATAACATGATGCAGAGCATCTCTTTATGACAGACAGACCTCTCCCCATCTTTACAACCATTGAATCAATATATTTTGACCATGACAGTTTATCTAAGGTAACACCAAGTAATTTAGTCTCCTAAACTTGCTTAACAGCCACACCATTCATTACCAGATTCAGCTGAGGTCTAGAACTAAGGGAATGATTTGTACCAAATACAATGCTCTTAGTTTATTACTGGCCACCCATTCTAAAACTGACTGCAACTCAATGTTTAGGGTTGCAGTGATTTCACTAGCTGTGGTTGCTGACGATTATAGGGTTGAATCATCAGCGTACATGGACACACAGGCTTTGTTTAATGCCAGTGGCAGGTCATTGGTAAAAATAGAAAAGAGTAGAGGGCCAAGAGAGCTGCCCTGCGATACACCACACTTTACATGTTTAACATTAGAGAAGCTTCCATTAAAGAAACCCCTCTGTGTTCTATTAGAGAGATAGCTCTGAATCCACAATATGGTAGAGGTTGAAAAGCCATACGTTTTTTCAACGACAGGTTATGGTCAATAATATCAAAGGCTGCACTGAAATCTAACAGTAGAGCTCCCACAATCTTCTTATTATCAATTTCTTTAAACCAATCATTATTCATTTGTGTCAAGTCTGTTGTTCATTTGTTTACAGAGACATAGCATTGTATTTGGTCAAACACCATTTTTTCCAACAGTTTGCTAAGAGCTGGCAGCAAGCTGATAGGTCGGCTGTTAGAACCAGTAAAGGCCGATTTACCATTCTTGGATAGCGGAATGACTTTGACTTCCCTCCAGGCCTGAGGACATACAGTACACTTTCCTCTAGGCTCAGATTAAAGACATGACAGTGCCTTCAGAAAGTATTCACACCCCTCAACATTTTGGTGTGTTACAAAGTGGGATTAAAATAGATTTAATTGTCATTTTTTGTCAACGATCTACACAAAATACTTGAATGTCAAAGTGGAAGAAAATTTCTAACGTGTTTTATTTTTTATTAATAGAAAACAAAACACTAATATATCTTGATTAGATACTGTAAGTATTCAACCCCCTAAGTCAATACATGTTAGAATCACCTTTGGCAGCGATTACAGCTGTGAGTCTTTCTGGGTAAATCTCTTAGAGCTTTGCACACCTGGATTGTAAAATATTTGCCAATTATTCTTTAATAAATTATTTAAGCTCTGTCAAGTTGGTTGTTGATCATTTCTAGACAGCCCTTTTCAAGTCTTGCCATATATTTTCCAGCTGATATAAGTCAAAACTGTAACTAGGCCACTCAGGAACATTCAATGTCATCTTGGTAAGCAACTCCAGTGTATATTAGGCCTTGTGTTTTAGGTAATTGTCCTGCTGAAAGGTGAATTTGTCTCCCAGTGTCTGTTGGAAAGCCGACTGAACCAGGTTTTTCCTCTAGGATTTGTCCTGTGGTTAGCTCTATTCCTTTCCCGATGACAAGCATACCCATAACATAGGGTGACCACATTTAAAATACCCAAATGCGGGAGAACAGGATGATTTTGCGGGACATTGTAGCCTAAATGAATACAAAATGTTGGCCGCGTTCTTCACGTTTTGCCAGTGAAACTTCCAAACTGCATCTGCATGCCAATCATTGGATCTCAATCCGTTTCATGTGAATATGCATTTAGATCTTCTTCAATTGCTTTTTCATGAGCTAATTAGAGCAGATGGTGTTAACAAACTATATAGCCGTTCTGTATTTTGTTTCAATCCAAGCAAATTCTGCCTAGTGGCACACGCTGTTGAGTTTTGGGACAATTCAGCTAACCATCCTAAAATCTCATAAGAAATGACTAAGGTGGTGTTTTTCGTGTAACAGTAACGTTATATACTATGCTATTATATTTGGTTCTGTTATGTAGAATACTAATTAATCATTATGTAATCTTGCAAGACAATAATTCAGCTTTGATCTACTTACTGTAACTTTACTAAACGAGCACCATTGTGAGAAGTGGCGGAGCGACGCTCCGGTGAGCTCAGGCAGCACTACACCCCTATTCCTGCTCATCAATCTACACACAATACCCCATAATGACAAGGCGAAAACAGGTTTTTAGACATTTTTGCACATTTATAAAAAATATTAAACAGAAATACCTTATTTACATAAGTATTCAGACCCTTCGGTATGAGACTCGAAATTGAGCTCAGGTGCATACTGTTTCCATTGATCATCCTTGAGATGTTTCTACAACTTGATTGGAGTCCAACTGTGGTAAATTCAATTGGTTGGATATGATTTGGAAAAGCACACACTTGTCTATATAAGGTCCCACAGTTGACAGTGCATGTCAGAGCAAAAACCAAGCCATGAGGTTGAAGGAAATGTCCGTAGAGCTCCGAGACAGGATTGTGTCGAGGCACAGATCTGGGGAAGGGTACCAAAAAAATGTCTGCAGCGTTGAAGGTCCCCAAGAACACAGTGGCCTCCATAATTCTTAAATGGAAGGAGATTGGAACCACCAAGACTCTTCCTAGAGCTGGCCTCCCGGCCAAATTGAGCAATCGGAGGAGAAGGGCCTTGGTCAGGGAGGTGACCAAGAACCCGATGGTCACTCTGACAGAGCTCCAGAATTCCTCTGTGGAGATCGGAGAAACTTCCAGAAGGACAACCATCTCTGCAGCACTCCACCAATCAGAACTTTATGGTAGGGTGGCCAGACAGAAGCCACTCCTCAGTAAAAGGCACATGACAGCCCGCTTGGAGTTTGCCAAAGGCACCATATGGACTCTCAGACCATGAGAAACAAGATTCTCTGGTCTAATGAAACCAAAAAATATTGAACTTTTTGGCCTGAATGCCAAGCGTCACGTCTGGAGGAAACCTGGCACCATCCCTATGGTGGTGGCAGCATCATGCAGTGGGGATGTTTTTCAGCGGCAGGGACTGGGAGACTAGTCAGGATCGAGGGAAAGATTAACGGAGCAAAGTACAAAGAGATCCTTGATGAAAACCTGATCCAGAGCACTCAGGACCTCATACTGGGGCGAAGGTTCACCTTCCAACAGGACAACAACCCTATGCACACAGCCAAGACAATGCAGGCGTGGCTTCGGGACAAGTCTCTGAATGTCCTTGAGTGGCCCAGCCAGAGCCCGGACTTGAACCCGATCTAACATTTCTGGAGAGACCTGAAAATAGCTGTGCAGCGATGCTCCCCATCCAACCTGACAGAGTTTGAGAGGATCTGCAAAGTGTGCCAAGCTTGTAGCATCATACTCAAGAAGACTTGAGGCTGTAATCGCTGCCAAAGGTGC